CAGATCAATGCATGATAATACATACTATGATAATAGCTCATAAACTGCCAGCTAACAGCCACTTCCTCCAATTCGTCTTTGTTGCCAAATACGTTGCATGGGAATGATTCTCCTGCTCCAGCCCAACACCTCCATCATTTGACTTTCTTGATCCGAGAGGATTTGACTGAGTAACGCTCAAACAGAGAAATATCACCAACGAACTCAAATTTTCACTTCTTCCACTCTCCACTTCTTCCTTCTTCCTCCCATTTCCAACTCTTGCCCCATTCAAGCACGACTACCACCTGCGAACGATTGTCCTGCTTCAACCCATCATGTCAATCCTACTGCTACCTTGATCTGATTGTCTTTGACTGATTGGCAAGGCTCATGGCGTGTACACCCCACTACACCACCAGCGTTTTCTTGACACTTCACTCTCTCTTGTATACTCCTCGTCGACGGCCAAACGTAACAGCATTCATTGCAGCAGTTGTCATTAGCTCCAACGTCTCAACAGCATTCTTTACTTGCATCAAGTTGCCTTACTACCTTTGTACGTGGACAGCGGATAGCCATTGCATACAAGCAGCTTTATTTACGTGTAGCAATACGCTTTGATACATACAGGTTCCTATGGAATGATGCATATCAGCTATCAAGTACGTCTCAATGCAAGTAGCCTTCGCCTGGTTGAGCTGCGATGGAAAATGACCAAGAAAGAGATAGACCGAAGGAGAAGGATCAGCAGCAATATTGGACTTGCAATGGCCAAGATGGATGGATGCAAACAAGTGCAGTAATGAGAATCGTGGAATGTTGCCTTGGTTACTTGGGACATTGTCAGCAGGGACGAAGAATCCATATCACGTGGATCCGGCTGAGAATGATGATGGATTGGAAGGAGTTGACAAAAGCGCTTGTATCTTTGACGAAAGAAGATGGATCACAGCTATGGATGATATTGGAATACTCGAGTCAATGCCTGCAGCAGCTATTTTGCAACCAAGAATACAACAATACCATCATCCTTGATGAGGACACACCTATGTCACCTACAAAGAATCACCTTTGGAGCGGCACGTGGATTTACCAGTTTTCATCACTTCGACTCCGTGCTCCAAGATGCTTGACCACTTTATCGGTTGGATCCATCACGACAACACTTCCCACGCCCACCCACGTATAAAGAGGGCTGTTGTCACCAACACTATCATTCGCTCTTTCTTTCTACTTGTCTGCAAATCATCATCAATGGCATTTGGTAAGTCTCAAGGATAGTCTTTATGTGATCCCCAAAATGAAGGTACCGTACTCATGCATTCATCTATTATGTACATAGCCCACTTTGTTGCTTTACCTCTTGGTGTGCTCATTGGTGCCTAATGGTATTTGGCTTTGTTCCTCGATGGAGCTTTTGTGGTAGGTATAGCTATCATTTACATATCCCTCTTCATTTATATATTGATGTATGTTATTAAAAAGATGCCTTGTACATTTGTGTATAAGCAAAAAGCAACTTCAGTCTGATGGGAAATTTGGGACTCCTTTGTCGGTGCCAAGCAACTTGTGTATCAACAAAGCAAGAACATACGTACGAACAAGTGTATCATGTCAAGTATCTTAATGATGTACTGGCGAGGTGTGTTCTATATTTGACAAGCTTGATTGAAACACCCTAACTCTGAAAATTACAGTTTCGGGGATCATGTACGATATTCACAAGGTTGGTGAGATCTATGTGAGCAAGACTATAGGCGAGCCACGCCTACCCACACATTGAAAATTGATATACGGTTGGCTCCTACATTTGAAGGTAACTTTTATGCTTGGCTTAAACATTTGTAACTAACCTTGTATCTTTAGACCTCTTTAATGCATCTTTCTGATGCCGTGGATGTTGCAAAGGCAAACCACAACGACTACCACTGCACGACACCGCCACCATCTTTAAAACGCAAAAGGAGCGATTCGGATTTCACATTCCAATTCAGCGGGCTTCGATGAAGAAGATGATCCAATACAAGCACTTGATGATCACCACGCCCACATGGAACAAGAGGCCCGTGCTCGATTAGACATACCATAACTCAGCCTTCACCACCTCCTTGCATTGCTCCTCACACCTCTTGATACGACCCCTTCATTGCGTTTTGCACCTTCCTTCTCCCCTCTCTTCACCTGATGATTGACTTTTTCCTCATTGAGGGTTGTTAATGCACCACTCCACACATCATATACCACCATATCTCTTTTGAATTGCATACGCACATCCTTTTGTCAATGGGTCGATCAGTCGTCTAAAGGAATAAGGTCACTTATTAGCACCCCAATAAAACATAACTTTTCTTCTGTACGATGTTCACAAGGTTACGATGATTACCCACATTCACAACAATGACAATGATTGCGATGATTGCGATGATAACGACGGCTGCGAATGATGGCGGATGAGGATGATTTATTTTGCACTTGGACTTAGCTAGCTTATTCCTTTCTTGTTGCTCGTTCATCCCATCTGTGTCAAGCCATTATTGGATCAGCAGGCATAGATGCAAAGTAATCGCATAGTAGTATCGCAGTAATCAGTGTAGCATCCAATCAAAAAAACGCCCACTGGTTTCAGAACCCAACAAGGTTTTCTTTTACATGTGCTTCGCCATAAACAAGATGTTGTGATAATTGGAAATACGCAAAGCATCTACAGCAAGCGATTGAAGATTGAGAGTGAAATCTGATAAAGTCCACGACTTTTTGAAATCTACATGCAGGATGGGATTCTGGGGGCCATATGCATTAATTGAACCTTGGTAGCCATTATGATCTAAGTATGTATGGATTGTACTCAATGATGCGAAACGACGTTCAACCATTCCCAAGCGTAAATTCGGTGGATCATTTGATGTCACCAGCATCATGATTGCGACAAGCTTTGTACGTGGATCAATTGAACAATCGAGTAACATCCCCACCGCAGTTATGTGTATACCCTAAATAGCCTTGTCATGGAAACTCGGTTAAATTTCTTGAATGATGAAATCCATACCCCATGGCTTAATGTTATTAAGAAATCTAAACGTAAGCGGTTTCAGTGCGTACGTTTGCAGCAAACCCTTGTTCTCAATTTGGAATCCTGATCTTTATCCCCTACAGGGCTAAATGCTGATATTCGCTTGTTCACAATTTATGGGACGTATCCTTGTCTTTCTTCCACTTCCTTTGTGTGTCGAATGGATGCTTTGCCTCCCGAGTTAATTGACAGCGTATTGGTGCATTTATCACAAGCTCAACGCGCACAAGCCAGCGCTGTCAGCCGTCAATGGCATTCGGTGATCAACCCACGTCTCTATCATGCACCCGATATCACCACTATCAAGCAATTGGACCACCTTGTAGGAAACGATTTGTCATCATGCCGGTCACTTGTTAGCATTCTTGATTTGAGCAAAGTTCGAGAACATGTGACCGACAAGCACATTGCCGCTTTTAGTCAATACCCATTGTACAGCCTGAATTTGAGTAAATGTCACCATATCTCGGCGAGTGCTCTTAATCAGCTACTACAAACATCGATTCAGACCTTACAAACGGCATTGTTAAACCATTGTCGTTTAGATACAGAAAGCTTGGAATTATTACGACAAGCTAATCTTATACGACTGGATTTGAGTGGAACGATGCTTCTTCCTTGTCATGCTATTGATACACCTCACCATTTGGAAACACTAATGGATCCAGCAAGGTCACAACTACGGGTGCTTCATGTTGCAGGATGTAATTGGGTGGATTCGATGACTGTGACGAACATTGCACAAGGCTTCCCACGTCTTACGCATTTATCGTTGTTTTGGTGTGACCAAATCAAGGTGGCGTCGTGTTTGGAGACATTGCTTTCACGACTACCAGATTTAAGATATCTCGATTTACAACATGTACCCGCCATACCAGACGCAGCACAAGATCAGCAGCAGCAGCAATGGATGAAAAAGAAGAAAAGCACGATTGATTTGCATGATCTGATACGTAGCCATCCCCATTTACAATGTATAGAATATACGCACAGACGACGTAAAGCAACCATAAAAAGAAAGGATGCGTAAGATGATCCTGTTTCTCTATTTTCTCGATTGGCTACTACTATGTACATAAAAGGAAGGCCGCGTCAATTTTGCTGTTGTAGCGGAGTGATTAAAGCCATAGAAACTATTTAAGGCGGGCCGATACCGATGTTGCACATGAATTTCCATCGCTCTCTTTCTTTTATTATGTCGTCTCAACATCGAATACAAGTATCAATATCTGGAATGACATGCAATAGCTGTGTCAAGTCTATCACACAAGCATTACAAGAGCTACCAGGCGTGGATGCATCTTCAGTGGCAGTGGATCTAAATACAGGCCAGGCGACGCTCTTAGCCCAGGATCAAATCTCGAGTCTTGTCATCAGCACCATTCAGGATCTTGGGTATGAGGCGACAGGGGACAACAATAAGCAAGAAGAGCCACGACTCCATGTGACACTTTCTATCTCGGGAATGACATGTTCTCATTGTTGCGATACCATCCAACATGCACTGAGCAACCTCCCTGGCGTGGTGCATGATTCCATTCACGTTACTCTTGGAAGCGCTTCTCTCTTTTTGAATGATCCTCACGTTATGACAAAAGACCAACTCGCTGAAGCCATTGAAGATCTGGGATACGATGTCGATTCGGTACGATTCGAGTACATGGGTCAAGAAGAAGCCAACATGGGTACAGCACCACCAATGGGCAGCAGCATGGAAGAACATTCAACAACACCACCTCATTACAAGATCGCCAAGGTCTCTGTCTCTGGAATGACGTGCTCTCATTGTACTCGAACCATTGCTGCCACGTTACAAGCTCTGCCAGGTGCGATCGTGGAATCGGTGCAAGTAGATCTCGGTGACCAGCTGGCGACTATGGTGTTTCAGGGCGACAGTATAACGAGCGACGTGCTTGTCAATGCCATTCAAGATGCTGGATATGATGTGGATGGAAGGCCAAGGATCGATACCATGTCATCAGCCCAACAAGCAAGTTTGCAAGGAGCTGGCACGACTTCAACTACAAAGAATAGCGCATCATCCGTTCATAGCAGCAATAGTCAATCCACAATGACCGATTCAGGGCTCCGCAAGGTGGTGATGCGAGTGATTGGAATGACTTGTCATAGCTGTGTTACAGCTGTTACGGATGCTTTGGAACATGGAGTACTTCATATTCAACAAGGCTCCATTCGTGTGGATCTCGAGACTGAAATGGCCATGTTCATCAGCCGTCGACCGGAGGCTTCACGTGTACGTCAAGTGGTCGAGGATCGTGGTTATGATGTCGAGAATATCCAAATCATCCATAATCTACTCCCGCCATTGGTGATATCGGATGATCCTCAACAAGGACAACCCCTCTCTCGAAGTGCAACAACCGATTCCATTGCTTCCCTTGGTGCAGTGTCCGTTGATACCCCTTCTGTGGCTGTACCAAGTAAGGTGACAATGCAAATCTCAGGCATGACTTGTGCTAGGTAAGGTTTATCCCCCTCCCCTTGGCTCATTATTATTCTATATGCTCATTTTTATATACATGTCTTAGCTGCGTACGTAACATTGAGCAAGGACTTTCAGCATTACCAGGGGTGGTACCCGAATCCGTCAAAGTGAATTTACTCGTGGGTGTTGGTTCATTCTCCTTGCATGGTGATGTCATTGACGAAGAGACGATTGAGCAAGCCGTGAGTCGAATGGGTTATACAGCATCCAACATCTCCATCATTGCCGAACAACGTGAATCATCAGCCTCGGAGTTATCCAACGTGTATCAAGCTGATATGATCATTAGCGGCATGTTTTGCATGAATTGTGTCGACAAAGTCCGCCACGCCCTGGAACAATTACCTGGCACCAAACACGATTCAATCAACATTGATTATGATTCCGGCAAAACATCCTTCCAATACAATGGCAACAACATCACTCGTGAACGCATTCGACAAGCTATTCTACAACTGGGTTTCATGGCAGAGAGCATCGATGTCATCAAATTGATTCAAGAGCAACAACAAAGCGAGAAGAAGAAGGATAGCTCTCAAGTATCAACAAGGCTTACGGTGACGGGCATGACATGCAGCTCATGTGTTGCCAACATTGAACGTGCCATCTTGAAGCAACCAGGCATTTTCAGCTGCCAAGTCAATCTTCTTGCCAAGTCAGCAGTTGTTCAACATGATCCTGCCATTGTTGGTGCGCGTGCTCTTGCCAACATGATTGAGCAACTTGGATACAAGGCTGAATTGGCACCTACAGGCGGCATGGATACGTTGATGGATCAGCGGGAAGCGATGCGTGCAAGCCTCAACAAGGAAATTGGTATACTGAAGTGGCGGTTTTATTGGTCACTTGTCTTTGCTATCCCCATTGTTATCTTTGATATGATTTTCATGATGGGCCTCCCACAAGACAACCCTGTGCGTATGGCTTTCGAGACACCAATCACTGACGGCTTAATGGTGGGCGATGTTGTTTCCTTTTTGCTTGCTACTCCGGTTCAGTTTTGGCTTGGTTGGCCATTTTACGTCAAGGCATACCGATCGCTTCGATATACGAGGAGTGCCAATATGGAAACGCTTGTTGCCATGGGTACCACGGTTGCTTATTGTGCCTCGGTGGGTACAATCATTGCTGCCATGGCTCGACATACACACAAGGAAGGCATGAACTACTTTGAGACAAGTGTGCTTCTCATCACCTTTATCCATTTCGGCAAATGGCTTGAAGCACTCGCCAAGGGCAAGACGGCAGAGACAATTACCAAGTTGATGGATCTTCAACCCGATAAGGCAATCCTCGTTGAATTTTCACAAGCAAGCAGTGATAAATCAGCAACAACAGCAGCAGCATCAGATGATGAGACGACGCTTACAACACAACCCTCTATCAATTCCAAGTCCAAGGCCAAAGGAGTGATTGAACGAGAGCATGTTCCTGAACGAATGAATGAACGTGAGATTGATGCAAATGATATACAAGGTAAGTTTATATCGCATACGTAGATGTATATATAACAAGTGTACTAATTCATTGTTGGCGATAGTGGGTGACATCCTCAAGGTGAATGCTGGTGCACGTATTCCATGTGATGGCAAGCTTTGGCGTGGTACAACTAGCACTGATGAATCCATGATTACGGGTGAATCGGTTCCTGTATCCAAGAAAGAAGGCGACGATGTCATTACAGCTACTATCAACTTGTCTTCGCCCATCTACATCCGTGCCATTCGTGTGGGTAGTGATACAACTCTTTCACGTATTATCCAACTTGTTCAAGATGCACAAGCCTCTCCCAAAGCACCTATCGAATACGTGGCTGATAGGATTTCGAGTGTCTTTGTCCCTGTCGTCATTGTTCTTGCCTTGATCACTTTCATTATTTGGGAGGTAGCAACGATCTATGATATGTATCCGGATGAATGGGTGCCTATGGGTGGTGACAAGACCACATTTTCAGTCATGCTGGGTGTCTCTGTATTGGTGATTGCATGCCCATGCGGTCTTGGTTTGGCAAGTCCCACTGGTAAGTTACAACAACAAGGAATCAACAATGAACATGCATCATCTAATTTTCCCTCCATTTTATTAGCTGTCATGGTTGGTACTGGTATTGCTGCACGTCATGGTGTCTTGGTTAAGGGTGGTGGCTATGCGCTAGAAATGGCCAGCCGTATCACCACGATTGCTTTTGACAAGACTGGTACATTGACTCAAGGCAAACCTGTTGTCACCGATAGTTGGACAGCTCCTACACCTGGTGCATCTTCAGAAGGTAGCAGCAATGACAATGAAGCCGAACGGGAACGTGCAGTGTGGAAACTTCTTGGTCGTGTCACTTCGGCAAGCAACCATCCGCTATCCAAGGCTATTGCAAAGCACGCCAAGCACGTGATTTCTCCCTATGAACAAGATGATGAGGAGGATGAAGATGGTCAACAAACAAATGATGAAGCCTTTGCTGGTGTCACTCTCAAGAACGCCAAAGAAGTGGCTGGTCGTGGTGTATTGGCAACTTTGGCATTGTCTTCTCAAGTCGCTGTTCAATTTTGGCCACCTCATCACCGTTCACAAGCTGAATCCTCACAAGAGCGCTTAGTGAATGTATTCCTTGGCAACCAAGAATGGATGAATGAGAACCGCGCACGTTACGCCAACAAACGACAAGCACAACAATGTCAAGATTTACTTGAAACATGGCAAAATGGTGGAAAATCAATTGTACTCTTGGCGATGGCACCTGTGGGTGGTGGTGATGAACGTAAACATGCCGATGGATGCAATGATGAATGTTCTTGCGTGGTATGCCGTTGTAGCTCTGGATCCATTTGTTGCAGTGCATCACGTACCATGATTGTTGGTCAAGTTGCAGTAGCGGATATAGTACGACCTGAAGCAAAGGGTGTGGTTGCACAATTACGGAAGCAAGGCATTGAAGTATGGATGATTACTGGTGATAATGAACGCACAGGCCGTGTCATTGCCGAACAACTTTCGATCGACAAGGATTGTGTACTTGCAGGTGTGAAGCCTGAGCAAAAAGCCGACAAGATCCGCAACTTGCAGCAACGAGGAGGTGTTGTTCGCAGCAATAGACGTCGTCTTTGGAAGAAGAACAAGAATAATTATGTGCAGCCAGTGGTTGCCATGGTTGGAGGTATGTGTATACATCATGTGCATAGCATGGGAAGTTTTTTTCTTGAAACAAATGATCACTCATGTGATATTCCTCTTTTTGTTAGATGGCATCAACGATTCCCCTTCACTTGCTCAAGCAGATGTTGGTATCTCAGTTGGCTCGGCAACGGATGTGGCTATCGAAGCTGCCAGCATTGTCCTTATCCGAAACAGCTTGTGGGATTTATTAACCATGTACGACGTCTCTCGCGCTGTTGTACGTCGCATTCGTATCAACTTTGTATGGGCGTTTGCTTATAACGTCACCGCTATTCCCATTGCTGCTGGTATTCTCTATCCTGGTACGGGTCATGGTCTCCCAACCTATGTTGCTGGTATTGCCATGGTAGCATCAAGCATCAGTGTCGTGTGTTCAAGTCTCCTTCTCCGCTTGTATCGTGCACCCAAGTTTGTGCGTGAACAACAAAAGCAACACAACATGTAGAAACAACGATATCATTTGTACGTTCATCATTTTACAATATACATAGCACCATGTTACTTTTACTTGTAAAGAAAAGCCCGTAATCCATTGTTGCAATAAAGCAATACCCATATCATCACCATCCCACTTGTTTTCCCTTGTAATCCTCCCTGACAATGTTGCTATGGAACAAGTTTTTTTTATTGCAGGGCACTACTTGTTTTTGAAAGATACGCGAAGATCTTTAGCTAATAACACGAGAGAAAGAAAGAGATTGAAACAAAGAGTAAAAAAGACCATTTGACCTTTTTCCTTTTTTGAAATGTGCCTGCTTGAAGAATTGTATACAAAGGAGAGAGTATCGTATGTAAGCATTGCTTTTTTACATCTTGTCATAGTACTTGTCAAGGCCTGGGATATCCTCAGCGAGACCCTTTCTTCTGCGTACATTGCGAACAATGTCATAAACCTTGTTGCCGGCTGTCATTGGGTCACCAGACATTGCCTGCCAGTGATCAAAGACAGCTTGAGGGAATGCTTGACCACCAGTGGCAGCACGCAAATCGGGGGTAAAGCCGAATGATTCGTTGACTGGCATGTGGGCCTTGATAGTCATCATGGGTGTACCAGGACGTTGTTCTTCAGAGAAGACCACACCACGACGGCGATTGAGCACCGAGTAAATACCACCAAGTGCATTCTCTGGGCATTGTACTTCAACCAAATACACTGGCTCTTGAAGACCAGGTGAAGCCGTTAACATGGAAGCATAAACCACACGGCGGAAAGTAGGAATGATTTGACCACCACCACGATGGATAGCATCAGCATGAAGAGTGACATCGAGAATGTTGAATCGACAACCACGCATGTTTTCTTCAGCAAGAGGACCTTCCTTGGTAGCCCATTGGAAAGCAGCCACACATGAATCCTTGATTTCATTTAGGTATTGAACAGCCTTGGTTGTATCGACCACAATGTTGGCACCTGTTGCTTCAGGACCAAAGCACCAAATCTTACGTGCTTCAGTGACATCCCAGCCATAATCTTCAGCCAACATACGTGCACGCGACTTGAAATCATCCTTGGGACCAATCTTGCCAGCTTCAATATCATTCGATAGCTCATCAGCCATTGGCATTGCACGCATGAAGATACGATTATGCTTGTTGGGTGACTTTGACAAGCAATCAATCGACGATGTAGCTGTAACAGTTTCACGATATTGGACAACAGGATCACCCGTACGAATAGGGACTTGAGCATGGTCTTCTTCAAGATCCTTCAAGATGATTTCCAAATGAAGTTCACCAGCACCGGCAACAATGTGTTCACCCGAATCAGACGTGTAGGTCAATACACATGGATCCGATTTGGCTAAACGTTTGAGACCCTCCACCAACTTTGGCAAATCATTGGCATTCTTGACTTCAACCGCCACTTGGACAACAGGGGATACAGAGAACTTCATGACCTTCATGTTGTGTGCAACTTCAGAGGTGGTAATGGTACCGGACTTGACAAGGAATTGGTCAACACCCACCAAGCCAATAATGTTACCAGCAGGGCATTCATCAATGGCTTCAATGTTACGGCCCATCATGAGCACGGTGCGTTGAATTGATTTTACGGACAAATCATTCTTGGAACCAGGTTGATAGTTGGGGCCTTGAATGCGCACCTTGAGACCAGCACGTACGGTACCCGAAAATACACGACCAAAGGCATAGAAACGACCCTTGTCAGAAGTAGGTACCATCTTGGAGACGTACAACATGAGAGGAGCATTGGGGTCACAATCACGGATACCAATAGCGCATTCATCATCCAAGGGGCCTTCATAAAGGTTGGGCACACGGTACTTTTGAGCAGTGACAGGCGATGGCAAATGGATACAAATCATCTCAAGAAGAGCATCACCAGCAGGCAAAAACTTGCGCATGACCACCTTGAGGAGTTGCTTGCCTTCAAGATCCGCTTCATCGTTGGCCAACTTGATACCCAACTTGTCAAGCAAAGTGGTTGTTTGCTCTTTCTTGAAGTTCATGATGGACTCAAAGATCTTGAAGATGGGGTCAAGTACAAACATGTTGAATGCACGTTCAAGCGTCTTGCCATCGGCATCCTTATCCTTGGTGGACCATTTCTTGGTCTTTGGGTTGAAGTAGTTCTCACCCCATAGGCGTTGCATCATCTTGTCTTGGTCAACGCCAAACTTTTTGGAATAACGTACTGCGAATTGACGCAACGTAAAGCCCCAGCCATGCAAACCAGAAGCAAAAGCAACGGTACCCTTTTCAGGATACACTTGCACATCACCTAGTGCTTCATCAAAGTACGTGGCAATGATGACGTTGGCTGTTTCAATGGTACGTGCAAAGGCCTAAGGATACAAAAAGGCGTGTGAGTGTTTGCTATATCAGGCAACATGTGCTTTCCCATCCTTAAGTTACACATCATTCAACCCGTATGATGGTTGTTGATGATGGTTACTTGTGGAAAAGCTCACGCGACAAAAATGATGAAAAAAAACTTACGTTGTAGAGCTCCTCCTTTTCAAGTTGAAGTTCAAGAAGAGCACGATCAATCTTGTTGATGACAAGGACAGGCTTGATACGCTCACCAAGAGCTTGACGCAACACGGTCTCAGTTTGCACACAGACACCTTCAATACAATCGACAACCACAAGGGCACCATCAGTAACACGAAGAGCAGCTGTGACCTCAGATGAAAAGTCGACGTGGCCAGGCGAGTCAATAAGGTTGATCAAGAAATCACGGCCTACGATACATGTGGATACATTAGTCAATGTACACAATGACTATGTAGTAGAACAAGTTGTATATGCAAGCATGCATGGTGGTATTGCTAAACTTACCGTCCACTTTTTGGCCCTTGATTTCCTTGATGTCTTCCTCGTGTTCAAGTTGGAAGTACATGGAAATAGCAGTAGACTTGATGGTGATACCACGCTCTTGCTCATCCTTGCGAGTGTCCATAAAACGCGTTTCACCTGCACGACCAGCGGAAATGATACCAGCCTTGGATACCAGCGAGTCAGTCAAGGTTGATTTGCCGTGGTCAACGTGGGCAATAACGGACATGTTGCGGACATTGGTCACTTTGTCCTAAGAGTTTTCTTGTAAGTATACGCGTATACATGTGTGTGTTTGTGTATTGTTTTTTTTTCTCAAGGCCCAAGGGAAATGAGAATGTGTGTATGTGTGTGGCCCCGCGTGTGAATGTATCAACATAACCAGGACATTTTTTGCTTACCATCAAACCACGGATCTCCTCAACAGTAAAGTTCTAAGGAAATTTGCCAATATGAATATCATCATCCAGCAACAATGAGATACATCGACATTGTCGTCAATACATACCACTATGGATTGTCAATAATCATCCCCGAGAAAGGAACAATAGGATTGCAGGAACGAGGGGTAGTAGTAATAATCAAGACAACATTAATACATGCACTACCTCTTTGCATGAACGGTCCATGACCACGTAAAAGCAGAGACAACATACCCATTTTTGTGTCGATATGATTGTGGGAGTCTTTTAGAGAGAATAAAGAATCAAGAGAGGGAAGAGAGGGTAATGTGAGAGAATGGTTCAAGGCCCAAGGGAAAAAAAGAAGACAAGTGATGGGAGCCCCGTAAATATCATCATTCGATTCCGACGAGCACTAAGCTGCATGATGGTGCATGGGCCAATCAGCGCTTTGTTGAACTGGTTTTTGGGACACAAACAAATACAATAACACTCACACACACACACACGAGAAATAAAGTGCCCTTTTTTTACTATAGGGTAACTTGTATACATATAAGGTTCATGATGATGTTATTCTTTTATCATACTTTCTATTATCTTTCTAATGACAAGATTTGCCGAGAGCACGTAATCTCCAATAATTGAAAGGAAGAGGAACGAGATATCCTGCACCAGCACTTGCCGCAGCCGCCAGCCAGAATTGGGGATCGTCAAAAGCGACACGGCCCCCCATCAGGTGCCAATCGACAGCATTCTCCGCTAGTTCCATAGCCAACATGCTTGCAAAGCTCATTCCCATAGCTGTTTTGAAAGAATCACTGTAGCTGAGACCAAGAGTGCGTCGTAAAAGGACCGTTTCGAGTGCAAGTGAACTAGTGATACCAGCAGCCTAAATAATAATGATACGTGTCAAAAAAAAGAGAGAGCCATGTGTGCATTCCTGCTATACAACTTTACCATGGCTGCGGCTGTCATCCAAACAGGGGACATGGTGGGATGATTTGCTTGCAAGTACCACATGGTCGAGAAATCACCCGTTGTACATCCAATCAGGCATCTGCATAATGTATGTGTGTGTGTGTGTGAATATTATCTTTTGGTGTGTGCGCGTTGTGTATCATCCAATTTACCTAAATGTATTGACTCGAGTGCGTTGCCATGATACGCTATCTTTCCAAAATGCGAGACTGGTTATGGGTGGTATAGGTTCTTGTTCTTGCTGCTTCTTTTGGTGGCTACAGCAAGACGACGACGTACGACGAGCTTGAGCCAATGTGGTAGTCGTCACCTTCAAAGGCAAAGTACTGCTTCGAGCAAGAGGTGTTCTCAATGACTGCAATGTCGTCAATGACATGAGGTGCGATTGAATAAAAGTGTCTATGCAAGGATGTCTGTTCTGCTCTCTCTCTGGCAAGCCACTTGGCAACGGCCGTATTTAAGCTCTTCGGAGTGAGATCTCTGTTTTTGGGAGCTATGCGCGTCCACCCAGTATTTGGAATAAAATGTTAAACCGACCCGAGTATCCGCGCAGGATGACGACGATCAATGGATATATAAAAAACACACATTGCATGGCTACCATCATTCCACCTTCTTCTTTTTCTTCCCTCTGTTGCACAATGTGCTTTGCTGTAATGCACAATAATCCTCGATAGCTGTAATCCAATCCAATCCAATCCAATCATGCTGCTGTTTCGATGTAAGTCAATGCTGAAAACTGATACTTTATATTCGTAAATGTGTATACAATAGGTGATGATGGAGGAGATGTAATATAAGCTGGCGTGTACGGATAAATGAGGATCGTTGAGAAAGGGGAGGTTGATGACAAATGGCTGTATTGATGTAGATATAGAATGCACAAGGGACGTTTATATGCTTTCTTGCTGTTGCTGCTGCTCGTATTCTCGTTTCTTTTCCAACAACATGGCCAATCGTTGCTCCTTTACAAGTAGAAAGGGAAATGAGCAATTGTAAAAGTGAAGCATGCCCAAAAAAAGGTGGGTCTCTTACCTTGGCCTTGATCTTGTAATCCTCCAAAAGATAGAAGCCGAATGCACCACCGATAAGAGCACCCATGGATACAGCAAATGCCTGACCGAATCTTGCCATTGGAGAATGAGAGAGAGAGAGTGAAAGAAAAGTTAACCCCTGGCTTCAAAGCTCAAGCTGACACTGAATGCGCAAAAAGATGATGTCCTCTCGCTACTGTAGCCAATCGGATAAGCCGTCTCAGTCCACTCCCTCCATGCCTATCACTACGATAACTCTTGTTTCATGATGATGGTCGACCATTGTCAATGCCAATAATATCACTTGTGTCACATGTGGTGTCAAACGTCTTTATAATCAATGATTGAATATGGATGACAATGCGAGGGATGGGGTATGCAGAGAGTTATTGAGTCTTGGGTGTTTTGGGTGATTTGGATCCCTCCTGATTTTCAGTATCTAATGTTCGTTTGACACCTGCTGAAGAACCAGATTCGCTCATCTTTTGCTTGAGTTCTTGAAGCTCTTTCTCGGCTGCAGCCTATAGAAGAAGAAGTAAGCAATCATTCACGCTCCGGTCTATATCATTTCAATTACCTTTTCAGTGAGGAGTACACGTGACCTCTTGAGAAGATTGTTGTATTTGACCTACAAAGGGAAAAAGATATCAGATTACACTTCTTACCAAAACTTGTGCAATATCGTACCTGAAGAGCTTGAGCCTGCTGTTTCAAGTTTTCAAATTTGCCTTCAATCTGCTCTTTTTCCTTCTTGGCAGCTTCCAAAGCTTCCTTTTCCTTTTTGACGGCTTCCAAAGCTTCCTTCTTGGCAGCATCCAATGCCTCTTCCAACGATTTGACCTTTTCTTGGTTATCCTCGCCCGGCTGCTATTATAATTGTGAGATTCTTGCGTATGGCATCAAAGCGATATTGCAATGCTTACCTTAGATTGCAATTCCTTCAATTGTTCTTGTGAAGTTTCCCATCGTTTCTTATAGGCGGCTGTTGCAGCTTGGTATTTCTTCATCTACAGACCTCAGGTCAATAAGAACTCATCATTAACTCCCCATGCCAAGTCCTTACATTGAGGGTGTTCTTATTCAGCTCTTCACTCAATGTTGCCTTCTCCTTTTCAATTTCCTCAATCTTCTTCTTCATCTCATCCAATTCGGCTGTATTGATTGGAGTGGGCTGTGCTGCTTCTTGTTTCTCTTGATCAGGTTGCTGTTCTGATGTAGCTGTGGCTGGCATTTGCTTCTCGGCGAGCTTTTCCTTCAATGTCTTGCATTCGTTTTCCAACTCGCTAAGCACACCTCGAAGACGTTGATTGTTATCCATGTAAGCAGAAGCCTTGCTCATCATCGATTTGAGTGTTGTATCCTGCTGTTTCCTCTTCTCCTCACTTTCATGCTGCAATTCCTCAAGCTGTATCTTTAGGCGTTCAAGCTCCTGTTGTGTGTTTTCAAGATTCTGCTGTAGCTGGGTACGCTGATCCTCGACTTCCTTATGCTGAACTTGAAGCTCTTTGTATTGTCGTTGGAGAGTGATAGCAAGCTGATTCACGTTGTCATCTGAAAACGCCTCACTGGTGATGGTAGTAGATGAACTCTCCTTTTCACTCATGTCGATACCAGCCAATTTGCTCTTGAGCTCAAGCGTTTGCGATGTGGTTTCCGCTAACCTGCATAAGTGGAAAATGTTGTCAGTTGATTGGCAACTCCGCCCCATGATTTTGACATCAATACTTACTCGGCACGTAAACTACTCATAGCGTTTTCCCATTGTGTCTTTTGTTCAACCAGCGTCTTTTCAGCAGAGGATGCTTGTGATTGTGCAGTTGCAAGTTGCTGTTTGACCTCATTCAACTCCTTTGCCAGCTGCTCGGTTTCTTGTGTGGATGTCGCATTGCCATCAGCCTGTGCCTTTTCCTTTTCCTCCAATTCACCCTTGACACGTTCCAATTGCTGTTGCGTTTCCTTGACAACGTTGACTTGAGCATTCATCTCCTCCTGTAATTGCTGTGCTCTCTCTTCTTGGGCCATGAGCTTCGAACGCATCCTGTTGATCTCCTCTGTGAGCAAGCCCTTTTGTCGTTGCCATGTATTCTCAGCCTCCAATTTCTCATCCTTGATACGTTGAATCTCATTCGCTGAAGTCTCCATGGCTTTTTCTCTGCTGCGATAATCATCAAGTTGCTGTTGCTGAGCACTGAGTTTGGCGGTCATATCGTCAACAAATGCACTACGCTCCTGTGATATCTTTGTGATCTCGTCATTGCTGATCTTCAACTCTACTTCATATTGCTTCAATTGTTCGTGTAGTGATTCAATGCTGGCACGTGCTTCGGCGAGATTTGCTGCATCCTTTTCAAACTGTGCTAGTCGCTCAGGATCACGCTCTTGTTCATAATCCGCCATCTTGGCTTCGAGAATCACGTGTTGCTCATTGATTTCAGCTAGCTCCTTGGCCAATCGAATATTCTCTCGTTCCAATCGCTTCACCTCCTCCATAGGATTCCATCGATCCAATTTCTGTTGCTCTTGTTGCAGCTGCTGATCATCCGATCGAGTGCGTTGTTCTCGTAATTGTTGTTTGGTGGATGTCAGCTCCTTTTCCATATCATCAATGTCCTTCTCATATTTGCTGACCATGGTCTTCAAATGCTCGCTGAATTCGGTCGCCTTTGTCAACTTTTGCTCCCATATAGATACTTGATTACGTGTTGACTTGGTCAATTCTTCAATTTGGCGTACACAAGCTTCCTTTTCTCTAGCCGTCTCATTGTATATCTTTTCATAATACTCCAATTTCTTTTGTGTGCTGATTGAATTGTTTTCTGCAAGTGACTTGGCTCGATCGAGTCTGACAATCTCGTCCTTTTGTTGATCTAGCATCTTTGTAACCTCGTTCAATCGCTGCTGAAGACCTGCTTCCACTGTTTGTTGCTTTGAAAGCTCTGCAAGACGAGTGTCACTGGTATCTTTATATGATTCTGCTTGATGCTGATAATGCTTGATCTCTTCTTTGGCTCGCAATAGCTGTAGACGCATCTCATCTGCCTCCCTGTGTGCACGCTCCAAATCATCTTCCAATTGCTTCAATTCTTGTCCAATCTTCACATGAGCAAAGATATCATCCAAAGACTTTGTTGATCCATTGCTGCTGCCATTTGTGGCTGATCGCCTAACATACATGTGGTCAATCTTTTACTCTTCCTGCTTTGCCATCCTCATGCTACTTACTGTATCTTATTGACGTTGTTGGCCGTTTTGAGATCAGCAATGACACGATAAGCCTCCTTTAGTTTTTGCTGTTGTTGTTGATATTCATTCGCTGATTGTGATTTGAATGCATTCAACTCGGCGGTCTTATCTCGTAAGGCGCTTGTCAATTGTTGCAGCTTTTTGATCAATTCTTGGTTCTTTTGCTGTAATTCATCGATATCTTTGAAGACGAGCAAATCAGGATCCATATCAGTCACTGTATTGGCGTAGTTGTATAAATCAGCTGAGCTTTGGATGGATGGTGGAAGCAAGTGTTTCTCGATATGCACAGCTTGTAGTAATTCCCGCAACTGAAATCCTGTCGCCTGCAATGCCTTCTGTAAATCCTCTTTTTGCGTCTTCATAGTGTGCAGCTCATCATTCAAATGCTGGATCTATATACACATATGTCAATCGTCATATTTCCAATATCCAAATCACTCAACAAACCAACCTGCTCCTTTTGTTCTTGATGCATCTTTTCAAGATCATGCGTGTGTTGCTTTGAGGTTTCAAGTTGCTTTTCCATGTAATCGCATTGATCATGTGCTCGTCCAAGTCGTCGCACTGTGTCGTTATGAGCCGCACGAAGTTGTTCATTGGAAGCTCGCATGTTGGTATTCTGTGCAATCAACTTGACTTGCTCCTCACGTAACTGAAATAGCTCGTCGTACACGCTCTCGTATTTCTCCTTGTCACGACTTCGATCATACACAAGCATAAGCTTTGCCAGCCTTCCTGCAGAATGGTCATTCTCCTTGTTCTTGAGCACTGATTCGATCGTCATTTCATCCTCGTATTCCTCTCGACCTTCGTCTTGGTCTTGTTTGCCATGGATGGCAGCATCGAGTCGTACTTGAAGAGCCGCGATCGTCAATTGAAGCTGTTCATTGTGTTGCCGTAAGGTGTTGGCATTGGTTTCTGCTGTGGAAGCGTCGGCAAGAGCTTTGGAGGTCTCTTCTTGACATGCTTGAAGGCGTCGTTCGTATAACGAGACAAGTTCTTGTTGAGTCTTTGTTGCCCCACTTCGAAACACATTCAGTAGCTGGCACCGCGATTCAAGCGCGCTGATTTCCTTCTTTTCAAGGAGCTGGTAATCGTTGCTCATCAAGAAGCGGGTGGAGGAATGCGTGTATACAGGTGAATATGAGTATGAAAGAAGCACGAAGCACGAAGCGGGCGATGAATGACAAGATCAAGCAAAAGCCGACCGTCACAAGGATATCCTCACTACCCCCCACCTCACACATACACATGCCAAATGACGTTATTAAGATGGATCCATCATAATAAAGCAACCATTCATTATTCAAAGCTATTCTTTGATTGTAACATTCTACCAAACTTTTGGATGTCATTGATAAATAATTCGCTCACTTCCAAAGCAGGAAAATGACCACCCTAAGACAACATACAATAGATAACAATGAATACCTTGTCCATTGTTCCTATAGAGAGTTCACCTACCATTTCAAATTCGGACCATTGTTGCACATTAGCTGTAGCTTCCGCCCATTCACGAGGCACCTATACCATACATAATCAATCCAATGCATACATAAACTATAGGAGCATTCACTTACAGCCGTGATTTCTTCTTGAAAAACGCCAACTGCTACAGGGATACGTATGGGAGTTGTGGATACAATCACATGGAAGGCGGGATCATGATACACTTCATAATACAAGCGAGCGGATGAAGCCATGTTACCGGTCAACCAATAAATCATCACGTGGGTGAGCAACTCATTCATGCTGATGGTTTCAGGAAGAATGGCTTCATCCTTTTTGCCTGATTCATAATACGTCCAATGATGAAACTTGTCGAGAATCCATGCTATAACATAGATGTGTTAATGAGCATCATGTTATATGAGAAATAACATCACCACCATCATTTACCTAAAAGGCCCACAGGGCTATCGGACAAAGCATAACTCAAAGTGTAAGGACGAGTACCTTGGATGGCACGATAACCAGCATCCTCGTTATTGTCAATGTCTGCAAATCCTCTTCCAATGGTCTTGACTTTGCCAACGCCATACACCATGTCGTTGCCGAATAACATGCTTGCACAATACTTGGCCACTGCCATGGGACGCGACATGAAGTTTGCTATTGATGGAGCAGGTGGTACAAACATTGGCATGATCGTATGGAAGCCTTTGCAATTGTCATCATGTCGTATAGCAATGTATTTGCCAATAACAGCACCCCAATCTGAACCATGCAAACCTGTAACCTGACACATGAGTAATTTAGGCACCATTTGATCATTTCAAAGACGACGTACAATATTTGCTGTAACCGAGCCGCATCATCAATTCATTCATGATCTGGGCAACTTTTGCAAGGCCACAACCAGGTTGCTTTGGTGCTTCGGAAAATCCATATCCGGGCATGCTAGGAATCACCACGTGGAATGCCTATAGACCCATAGTGTCAACCAAAGATGTGGATGAAGGCGTTGTTGCTGCGGCATGTTACTAGTACCTGCCCATCTGTACTACCACCATCGCGTAAGGCTTCAATCACCTTGTGATACTCGTAGAAGGTAGAAGGCCATCCATTAAGTAAAAGCAATGGTACAGCATTTGGATTTTTTGATGGCTCGTGAATAAAGTGGATCGCAATGTCTTCAATGGTGGTTTGGTAATGATGCCAACGATTCATTTCAGCGCGTGCAATTTCCCAATCGTATTCATCAAGCCATGTCTTGACAACGGGTTTGATAGCCCAGCTAGGTACACCGTATCGCCATCCGACATCCTTATCCAATTCATTTGGATATACCGCCTCGGCCAATTTCTTTCTTAGTTGATCCCACCTTTCCTTTGGTACAGCAGGGATTTCAAACGTGTGGATAGACATTTAAACGTTGCTGTATGTGCTCTTTGTGGAAGAAAAAGGAAAATATAGAGTACAAGAAAGAAAGAAAGAATGGAATCGTGGGAGCGATGGGTTGCATAAATATCAACAAAGATTTTGGTTCATTTACTATGTCTTGCATAATTACAATGGCAGCTACCTAATTAAGCTCAGCCTTGGTTACCCCGCAACACGCACCGCAGCAGTAGTTATTGTTACCACTGCTATGCCCCAGAGTCACTCTACCCGGTATTAGCATCGTTTCGGGGATATGCGGGCGTATAAGGATGTCATCTTTATCGCGTGGTGCTCTGTAAAGGACAAAGATCATGACATGAAACACCCTATTTGTCCCCTTTCCATCATTTGAGCCGATCTAACAACAACAACAACATCCCCACATGATCCCATTATTCTTCTTGAGAGGATGGAGAGTAATGTTTTAAAGATCAACAAGCCCTTGTCGTCATATCTTGTAGTAGGTTGCTATGTCACAAGCAATCGGGTACTATTTACTCGTCGCCTTTATGCCCGCAAAGTATGAAACCCGCATATGGTGCATGTCAGGATGTTATGGAACGGGTTCCGAGAAACAAAAGGAGAGCTGCAGGGAGACTTTGGGAGACATGCTAGTACAGCTATTGCCGGTGATTGCAGTATACACATTGTGCAATGCATATTCTAGCCACTACTTCATATCCAAGGTATTGGTTTTTACTAGGATACGTGATGAAAAAAGGGGAAGCAGCCAAAACCACACACTTGTACCAAGGACCATGTGCAAATAACAGAAAAGACATTGATTTCTATTGGTGGAATAGCAACGCTCCTCGCATTTGGTTACTAGACATCGTGGCCAGCAACATAGATTCGAGGAGGTTTCAGCTAAAAACGTACATGGCCATCTTCTAGCCACATGACCACCACCACACACTCACACTCTCACGTATACACATCTCCCATGATGATCTGTGCAGATCAGTACAGAGATAAAACGAGGCATGGATAAGGATCGATCGGGTAAGGTACCCAAATAAGGTATGCATCTCTCATTCCCCTTAAGCTCGATGGCACAGGAGGGAAAAAATAGTTCACAAAACGCGTGCAGGACCCTGAATATGTGCAACTTCCACTTTTTTCTAGTATCCGGGGGATGATTAGGAGAGGGACATTATAACCAACCATATCGCTCACAGGCTTACAAACCAAATGAGTGAGCGTATGACGTACGTTGGAACATTAACGGCATTAAAGTTCATGAAAGAAGAAGCAAGAGATTTAATAAACGTGCGTAGACTACTATTAAATCATGCTTGTTTCAATCCATTGTTCTCGAGGAGGGGAGGACAACAGTAGAATTAGGTACATAGAAATGGTCCATGGCTTAAAATACACTCTTTTATCACCCTTGCGTGTTTCTTGTTGTTCATTGTTATCCTCACCAATGATAATCGTTTTCCAATTCCTTGTCCTTTATATGGATACCCGATTAGTGAGCGACATTTACCAGTGCACAGCCATTTTACTTTATCCATAGAATCATTCACAATTGGGGACGACTTCACTATCTGATGATGGCAGCCTCAATAGGAAATGATGGTGTTGCTGCAAAGTTGAGGAGACCAAGTCAGGACCTAGAAGGAGAAGAAAAGAGGAGAGGGTGTTATGTTGACGTTGCTTGGCTCATATCAGTTTTGTGGTAAAGCACATGCACGCACGAGGCAATACCACACTCCTACAGCAAGGACCAGCAAGATCGTTTCCACGAGCACAGCGCATCCCGTTGGGTATGAGCGTCTTGATATTGCTATCTAATCAGCTACCACACCAACGAAGGAGAGCAGCTGCTAGTAATGAGGAGAGGAAGTTAAAGAGCATCTTTACTCTTCCATCACAACCACCCACCTCTTTTTTGTATTTTCACTCCCCTAGTAACAAAGACGATCTTCATGCTCTCCCTCTTCTTTTGCTCCTTTTCAGTCATCTTCTTTTGTTATGCACAAAGGGGATAGCACAAGAAAAATGGAGATTTCATGCACCTGTCAATGCACGCACACACCATAGTATCCGGAGAACACGCTGTTGCTTCCACAATCCGGACCATGCGTCCAGTACCTTACTTTTTCCTATCACCCCAAGTGCCTATCCCTGATTGAGCTTGTGAAAATGTGTATGAACGCGTATCAATTGTATAGCTTTCTTGATGCACGCTTCTCTAGGGTGATGCGTACCTTACCGCCAGAATCACCCTTTCTTTTCACGGGCCTCTTTTTATTACATCCTGATATTGTCCTTCCGATGTATATAAATACATCCTGACATGGAGCTTTCATTTCCTTCGTACATATACTGCTTGATCGCATAGCATCCTATCATTTATCACTGATCTTTCTTGGATTGAATAAGGTACGCATATAGCATATAGATGATTATCTTTCCTTTTCATTGACTCAAACATGGTTTCAAACATGGCTTGCAGAAAAATGGAATCCCATCACAGCAGCATGAATAGCCCTTTTATTGACCCATCATCAATGCAACAACATCACCTTCCTATCTCCGATGCAATGATGTATGCAACTCCACCGCACCCTGCAACAGCGTACTTGTCGCCAATAAGCAGTAATGGTCGTGGCAGTAACATCACTTACTCTGCTGGTGGTGGTGGAGCCTTATATCCCGAAATGTCCGGCACAGCGACTTCGACACCGCTTACTCCAACAGTGTCACCCACTCATTACGATACAATGCAACAACAACAGCAGCAGCTCATTAATTCAGCACGCAAGTATTCGGTTGATGTTGGACCTTTTGGATACATGAGCCATCCACGTCAACAGCAATTTTGGATGATGCAGCAAGATGAGTTAATGCGTCGCAGCTCCACAGCAACCAACATTTCACTTGATGAACAAGGAACTTTATCGCATCATAGTGTACCAACACCGCCTTCAGATTACACAAGTAGTGGTGACATCCTTCAACAACAACAACATCAACAACAACAACAACTTGCCATGATGCCACCACCACCCTCCTCCTCTGTATCAGGTGATGGTAGCAAAAAGAGGCATGTTAAAATGACACCACCAGCTGCAAAAAGCACCGATCGCCCCAATGTGCAACATAAGCATGTATGCAAGTATGCATTTTGTGGATGGAGTTTCAAACGTTATGAGCACTTGAAACGGCACATGTTGGTGCATACAGGAGAAAGACCATACCAATGTCGATTTCCTGGATGTGGCAAGAGCTTTAGCCGATCCGACAACTTTCATGCGCATTGCCGAACGCACACCAAAAAGGCCATGCAACAACAACAGCAACAGCAACAAGCACTTGGTAACACAGGAAATCAAAAAACGGCGACAGCTGTCAATGGGCCCGGTGATGATCATAATGGGATGGCTACTGTGTCACATGCTTTATCAACGCGAACGGACGACTTACCAAATGGATCAGCAGCCTTTTTTGAGCAACGTGGTGATGCCGCTACCCCATTGTATGAGGTAGGACAAACTTTATTGTTTTCTTAGTTGGTGCCTTTTCTTATCGCTCACACTCTCAAACTATGCAATCCACTAGCAACACGCTAATTCTATTATCGATCCCAAGTCATCATTCCAGCCGCATAATGCCGCTGTTGTGCCGCAACCCACAATGACGCTAAATCATGAAACCGGTTTCCACCACCAACATCAACCAGTAATGGAAACAACTCCTTTGTCGTCATCTGCAGGATCTCCTTTTACAACTTTTTCAAGCAGCAACATTACTACTACTACACCAGGCATGTTACTTCATCCATTTCCTTTTGACATGAGTACAAGGCTATCAGCACAACAACAGCAACAACCACCACCCATCCAACTCAAATCACACATGTGCCCTGTGCCACAATGCCAACGAAGATTTAAGCGTCTGGAACACCTAAAGCGACATATGCGTATTCATACTTTGGAACGTCCCTTTCCATGCACGTTCCCCAACTGCAACAAGGCCTTTTCCCGTTCCGATAACTTGTCGCAACACATGAAGACTCACCAACGACACGAAGACCGACGCAAACGTCAGCTACAGCAACAGCAACAACAACAGCAGCAGCATGAATTAGTCGGCACTATTCATGCACCAGGGGTTGATAACAGCGACATGGGTTGGAGAAACCCCAACAATGATAACGTTATCGCCACCACCACTACTACTACGATCACCCATCATCATCCAGCCATAACGACAACGGCTGCAACTACCAATACAGCATCCGTAGGATGTTGATGATCATCATTATTACCTCCAGCATTATCGTTTTATGTACACAGCACACACACAACAAACACACACGCAACATCTCACCATCGACAAACGACATACCAACATGTTTGCTATATACATATATACAAAAAACCCATACATCTTTTACGCGTTCATAATCTTCATCACCACAGCTTTATATACCCTCCTCCATAACAACATGTGTTTTCCTTCCTCCCTCTATCGGCCAACATGGTTCCCTTTGTACCGAAAAAAGAAAACAAAACAATCCAACACGCCTCCATCTTCCCCCATTGCTATTCTTATGCCGCCATTGCATTTTCTTTGTTCAAGAAGAAAAAGGGACACTTGCCGTTTAAGGAAAACACTTTATGCTTCGATGCTTCACCCTCTCCCACTTTTGCTTTTTCTCTTTCTCTCTCTCTCTCCTCATACCCCAAAACCTTGCATCCACATCCATATACATACAACCCACACACCACCACCACCTTTTAAGAACTCTATGTTTTTCTGCAGAAAACAATCGAAAATAAAGATAAAACCAGTGGACGTAATGATAGCCGTTGTTGTTGTACATGAGGCGGGAGGAGTGGGTGAAATCAATGATAGAATGATAGGTTTCAACGTGTAGGGTGCACAAGTTGGGGATGGCCCCAAATGTCGGTATAAATTGGGGGTATGGGTTAATGTGTGAGTATTGTGTATGATGCGCATTGATTCGGTTGGGATTATATGGGTTTTGTGTATATGTATGGGTTGATGTGGTGTTTTGGTTGGCCGAGGCAACCATTCCCAAACGGAGAGCAAGACCTCGGTAGCGGGCCATAAAAGGGAATTGATCTCCGGAATCGCTTGTTACCCTATTACAGTCACAGCTCAAATAAGATCTTTTGGAGTCTGTGTCAACGCGGCGAGTGAGCTGACAAGCAAACATAGCTCTTTATTGGGGGGAGAGAGGAATCAAGGAGGCGCCGAAAAAAGACACAGCACAAACCAAGGTGGGGGAGGGGCCATGAAGGGGAATTGGCGATGTGTCATATAAAAATATACAACATCTTTTGGCAGTTTCTGTTTTTCTTTTCTCTCTCTCTCTTTTTTTATCACCCTTTTTTCTTTTTTCATTCAAACACCATGTCTGCCAAGGCTATCCGAGAGTATGACGGAAAGTTGCTGTTGGCATATCACTTGCTCCGTGCACCTTTAGTGTCTGAACAAGCTTCTGCCTCCTTGTTCACGCCTGCCGCCACCAAATTGGCTCAAGTCAAGATTGACACGTCTCTTACGGGTGCTGCTTTTGACTCAGCCTTGAAGCAACAACTTGATACTTTGGAGCAAACTCAACCTTGGCTATTGACTGATAAGTTGGTTGCCAAGCCCGATCAACTTATTAAGCGTCGTGGCAAACACGGTTTGCTTACTCTCAACAAGTCATGGCCTGAAGCAAGACAATGGATTGAGGAACGTGCTGCTAAGGAAATTCAGGTAAGGAGATCATATGGGGATGGTATCATCATCAGCGGACCATGTCGGAAACTAACTCCACCGATTTGATTATCAAGATCGAACGCACATCTGGCATCTTGAAGACGTTCCTTGTTGAGCCATTCACTCCACACCCCGCCAACACTGAATATTACGTGTGTATCAACTCTGTGCGTGAGGGTGACTACATTTTGTTTACACACGAAGGTGGTATCGATATTGGTGATGTTGATGCCAAGGCTCTCAAGTTGCTTGTCAAGGTGGATGAACCTTTCCCTTCGCCTGAAGAAGTCAAGAATACCTTGCTTAAGGATGTCCCAGAATTTAAGCGTGATGTCTTGGTTGACTTCATTACTCGCTTGTACTCTGTTTATGTGGACTTGCACTTTACATACCTTGAAATCAACCCATTGGTGGTGACCGATCCTGTTGAAGGTCAAACTCCTCAAGTCATGTATTTGGATTTGGCTGCCAAGTTGGATCAAACGGCTGAATTCGAAGCTGGACCCAAGTGGGCTATTGCACGCGCACCCCAAAATGCAGGTATCCCCGCATCTGCTGCTGGTCAACAACATGCCGATCAAGGCCCACCTATGGAATTCCCCGCTCCTTTTGGTCGTGAATTAAGCAAGGAAGAAGCTTACATTCAAGAACTTGATGGCAAGACTGGTGCCTCTCTTAAGCTTACCATCCTTAATGGCAAGGGCCGTATTTGGACTATGGTTGCTGGTGGTGGTGCCTCTGTTGTTTACTCTGATGCCATCGCTGCCCTTGGCTATGCTGATGAGCTTGCCAACTATGGTGAATACTCTGGTGCCCCTACTGAGACCCAAACTTACGAGTATGCAAAGACCATTCTTGATTTGATGACGCGTGGTGATGCTCATCCCGAAGGCAAATTGCTCTTTATTGGTGGTGGTATTGCCAACTTTACCAACGTTGCTACTACTTTCAAGGGCATCATTCGTGCCTTGACCGATTTCAAGCAAGCTCTTATCAACCACAAGGTTCGCATCTTTATTCGTCGTGGTGGTCCTAACTATCAAGAAGGTTTGCGTGCTATGCGTCAATTGGGTGATTCGCTTGGTGTTGAAATTCAAGTGTTTGGTCCTGAAACCCATATCACCGAAATCGTTCCTCTTGCTTTGATTGGCCAACCCAGCGATAACCAAAAGGCTAACAATGGTGCATCCTCTGCCTCTTCTGGTAACTTGTTCCAAGACCAAATCTTTGGTGGTGATAGTGGTGCCAACACACCCTCTGGTCGTCGTAGCCCCAAGCTCAAGATTGCCGATGAAACCCCTTCAGGTGAAAGCCGTATGGAATACTTTGGCACTGCACGTGAAGCTGAAAGTGCTGAATGGTATCGTCCTTTCACTTTCCGCACTCGCGCTATTGTGTATGGTATGCAGCCTCGTGCCGTACAAGGTATGCTCGACTTTGATTTCATGTGCAAGCGTGAGACTCCCTCTGTTGCTGCTATGGTGTATCCATTTGGTGGTTCGCATGTCCAAAAGTTCTATTGGGGTACCAAGGAAACTCTTATCCCAGTATTTACATCGCTCAAGGAGGCTGCTGAACAATTCTCTGACGCCGATGTTGTCGTCAACTTTGCTTCTTGCCGTTCCGTGTTCGACTCTACTCGTGAAATTTTGAGCTTCCCTCAATTCAAGACCATTGCTATCATTGCTGAAGGTGTACCTGAACGTCGTGCTCGTCAATTGCTTCATGAAGCTGAACGTCGTAAGGTGCTTGTCATTGGTCCTGCCACTGTTGGTGGTATCAAGCCTGGTTGCTTCAAGATTGGTAACACTGGTGGTATGATGGATAACATTGTTGCTTCCAAATTGTATCGCCCTGGTTCCGTTGGCTATGTCAGCAAGTCCGGTGGTATGTCCAACGAGCTCAACAACATCATTTCTCGTACCACTGATGGTGTCTATGAGGGTGTTGCTATTGGTGGTGATCGTTATCCTGGTTCCACTTTCATTGACCACTTGTTGCGTTATGAGAACGACCCCAACTGCAAGATGCTTGTTCTTCTTGGTGAGGTTGGTGGTGTTGAAGAATACCGTGTCATCGAAGCTGTGAAGAATGGCACCATCAAGAAGCCCATTGTTGCCTGGTGTATCGGTACTTGTGCCAAGATGTTTACCACGGATGTCCAATTTGGTCACGCTGGTGCTCTTGCCAACTCTGATCTTGAGACCGCTGATGCCAAGAACAAGGCTATGCGTGCTGCTGGTATCATTGTGCCCGAGACTTTTGAAAAGATGCCTCAAGCTCTTGCTGATGCCTATGACAAGCTTGTCAAGGAAGGTGCTGTTGTTCCTGCCGCTGAGCCTGAAATCCCCAAGATCCCTATTGATTACTCTTGGGCTCAAGAACTTGGCCTTGTCCGTAAGCCTGCCAGCTTTGTTTCCACCATTGTCGATGATCGTGGTCAAGAATTGTTGTATGCTGGTATGCGTATCACTGATGTATTCAAGGAGGATATTGGTATTGGTGGTGTCTTGTCGTTGCTTTGGTTCAAGCGTCGTCTTCCCGATTATGCATGCAAGTTCATTGAGATGGTCCTTATGCTCACTGCTGATCACGGCCCAGCTGTCTCTGGTGTAAGTATTTTGGATTTGGATTATTGAAAAGGGAAGAACTTGTTTATTTACAACGTGCATAATAGGCTATGAACACTATCATTACCACTCGTGCTGGCAAGGATCTTATTTCCTCGTTGGTTGCTGGTCTTTTGACTATTGGTGAACGTTTCGGTGGTGCTTTGGATGGTGCTGCTACCAACTTTACTCGTGCTTATGATAGTGGTTTGACTCCTCGTGAATTTGTCACAAGCATGCGTAAGGCCAACAAGCTTATTCCTGGTATTGGTCACAAGATCAAGTCGCGTTCCAACCCCGATATGCGTGTTGAGCTTGTCAAGGACTATGTCAAGAAGCACTTCCCATCCTCTCCTATTCTCGACTTTGCTCTTAAGGTTGAAGAGATCACCACTAGCAAGAAGGACAACTTGATCCTCAACGTTGATGGTTGTATTGCTGTCTCCTTTGTCGATTTGCTTCGTGACTCTGGTGCCTTCACTCGTGAAGAGGCTGAAGAGTACATGCGCATTGGTACCCTCAATGGTCTCTTTGTCTTGGGTCGTTCGCTTGGTTTCATTGGTCACCATCTTGATCAAAAGCGTCTTAAGCAAGGTCTTTACCGCCATCCTTGGGATGACATTTCTTATCTTTTGCCTTCCCTTGATCCTTCCACTCTTGACCCTCGTCGTGTCAATGCTCGTGTCAATGTTCAACCCAAGTAAACTCATCCCTTTGCACACATACACAAAACACACACACACACATATCCACGCTTCCCACATTTCTCTCTGTTTCCACTCCCTCTCTATTGGCATCATTATATAGTTTGCATTTGTTCTTCTTCTCGCTTATTCCTTTAATACAAGATGCAATTTGTACAGACCGTATTTACTTAGTTTTGGAGTTCACGTTTCATTTCGGTTTGACGCATAGTGATTTCGAGTCCCATCACATCCCCTTCAAGGTTGCCACTAGCTTGTGGTCGATGTTCTTTGAGTCCAGTCTTGTCATTGAATTGTGCGAGGATTTGTTCAAGAGCACCCAACTGCTTTTGTGCCTCAGCCATCACTTGGCCATTCCCATTATTGTTGCTGTTTGCAGGTTGCTATGGGAACGAAAAAAATGGTCAGCTCATCGCCCAATTCTTTCATGCTTTTGTGTGTATACCTTGCCCTGCTTTTTGCCATTCATTTGACTCGCCATCATGTTTTGAAGCTTGGACAACTCGTTTGTGATGGAACCGATATCGGTGTTGCCGCTGATCTTTTCATGAAAGCCTGCAAGTACGGTGGCATGGGAATCAACCACTTCAGCCATTCGTTGTTTGTGCTCTTCCTTCAATTGCTATAATACATGGATGGGGTTCGTTAGTATATGCATCAACGCCCACTCTACGGTGCATATACATACCTTGATGTGCTCTTCATATTGCTTGATCTTGTTTTGGGTTTGTACTTTTTCAGCCTGCAACTCTTCAATCGTTCTCTGATGCTCTTGTTTGGCAGCTATGTGTAGCAATGAAGAGACACGCATTAGCGATTACATTGGCTCATGACCTTGCATTCGTTTACCATTGGCCTTTTTGAGCTCGTCCAATTCAGCATTGTGTTTCGACAAGAGTTCCTTGATAGCAGCTTCGTGTTCGCTTTTTGAAATGGTGGCCTATTTTCATGCAGCAGTGAGTATGCATACAACAACAACATGGACGTTGCATTCCATACCTCTGTTGGCTGATCACCTTGTTTCTTTTCATTCTCTAGCTGGTTCACACGCCTCTCAGCATCTCGATCGTGCTGCAAAACAAGTTGTCGCTTCAATTCATTGATCTCGGATTCATGTTTGGCTTGCAGCTGTGCAAAATCATTCGCATGTTGTTCCTTGAGCGAAGCCTATGTACGGTAAAAGGATATGATTACGACATGACATGTAAGCAACATTAACCTCATCACTACATACAGCAACTTGGTCCTTGATCTTTGCAACATCATCTTGTTGTCCTGCGGCGATGCGATCACGCTCTTGCTTATGATTCTCGAGTATACGATCATGCTCTTCTTTTTGCTTTGCAAGCCTTTCTTCAAGTTCTGCCATGCGTTTGTTGTGCTCTTGTTGCATGTCATTCAACTTCTTTTCATGGTCTGTTGTCAATTGTGCGGTTTGGGCATTAAGGTCAGCCTTGGATTTGTGTGCTTGCTCTTGAACAACGGGTTCACGTGACACGGCAACGGCTGCATCACTCTTGGCTTTGGCGAGTGCTTCTTCATGGGATTTCTCAAGTGCTTTGACAGCTTTATCGTGATCATCCGCCCACTGCTTCTTAAGCTCTTCAATACGCTTCTCAGCCTCTTGCTCATGTTGTTGCAAGATGGCCTTGTGTCGATCATCAAGCTCTTGAAGCTTCACTGCGTACTCAGCCTCAATGGTCTCTCTCTCCTTGGCACGATACTCCTCCAATTGCCGTTGATAGGATTGTTGCATATCCATTTTGGTTTCACCAGCCTTGGATTTCAATGTCGCCACTTGACCCAACACAAGTCGATTCACTTCTTGCAAGCGATTCAATTGGCTCTCATGATCTTGTCGTTCTCGAGCTATATCATTTTCATATTTCTGTCGACATTGTTCCTGAGAATGAAGGTTAAAATACAATATTACAACACCACTACGACCCCTTTTTTCGCATGTGTGTACCTCTGCATCAGCCTTGACCTTTTCCAGATCGGGTAAATCAGCTCGTAGAGCATCAAGTGCTTTTTGGTGTTCTTCCTCCATCCTTTTGAGCTTATCATCATGTTCTTGTTTAAGGGTATCGAGTTGTGTCTGTTGACCCCCCAAAAAAAGTGAGCCCATATCAGCAACTTTGTGTTACAGTTTCATTCCCAGACAACGCAAGATGAAATAAAACCTTACTTGATGAGTGGCCTTCAGTGTTTCGAGCTGGCGGCTGTGCTCTTGTTCGAGATGTTGTACTTGTTGTTCGGATTTAGAGCGGATAGATTCCGATGTCACTTGATGCTCTTCTTTCACGTTGGACATGGATTCATCAGCATTCTATTACACAAGTGCAAGGGTTGGTTCTTTTGCACAACCATCCATCAAGACCACCCACCACTACTCCCGGCATCATCCTTTTTTCTTCATGCACCATGACAACAAACCTGCAGCTCTGTTTCCAAATCTATTTTTTGTTCCTCAAGCTTGCCAGGATGCTGTTGTTGTTGCTGTAATGTAGCAAGTTGGCTCTCGTAGTCCTGTCGTAATTGTTCCAATTGATTGGCATGCTGTTCTTTGAGCTGGCTGCTTATTTGCGTATGTCGTGTTTCTTGCTCATCCTTGAGTTCCTATTCAACGTGCATCCTTTATAAGTAATGTGGGATGATAGCATTTCAATAATCCACGTACCTGGATGTTGTTTTTGAGATTGGTCAAATCTTGGTTCAACTTGGCAAGTTCGGTTTCCTTGGCAACCAATTGATCCTGCAAGGCTTGTTTCTCACCTTGAAGATTTTCACGCATCTCTTGCATGCTCATTTGCAGTTTGTCCACAGCTTCCTGATGCTCACGCATTAAATTTTCCTTTTCCTCTTGATAGGCTGCAGCTGATGATGTGGAAGATTCTGTTGTTCCTTGTGCATCTTTAAGCGCTTGTTCGGCCTCGATCATCCTCTTCTCCAATGCTTGCTTTTCAGCTGCAGACGTATGTTGATGTTCATCCAATTGTTGCTTGACTTGATCAAGATTTGACTTGATTTCAGCCAGCTCCTTTTCCTTGGTTTCCAATTCAGCTTGACGCTCTTGAAGCAAGGTGGCTGATTCTCGATTCTATAACATGGAGACTTTTGTTGGCTTTATTACAATTAAAGTAGTATTTTCACGTACCTTGGCATTCAACGATTCGATTTCTTGCTTAAGTTCGGAAAGCTTTGATTGCTGTTGCTCGGAAGAAGTGGCCGATGATGCACGACGAGATGATGCAGTAGATGCCCTACGTGTGGTTGGTGTCCCAGTAGTAGCAGCTGATAAACGACGTGATGATGTTGCTGAAGGAGGTGATGCGCTACTGGTAGCAGGCTTTTTGATAGTGGATGATGTCCTTGCTGTTGATGTTGGCATCCTTGATGACGAAGCAGTAGTAGTGGTGGTGGTGATGCGTGATGTAGCACGAGTGGCACTAGCTGTGGATGGTTTTCTTGATGTCATGGATCCTTGTGTTTTGCCAGCAGTAGTAGTCTTAGGGGGAGAACGCGAGATGGAGTTGTTGCTACCTGAAGTAGCATTCGATGATGTCAAAGCAGAGGTTCTCCTTGTTTTCGTGGCTTCAGTCATGCTGGTTTATTGAAAGGGTGTTTTGAAAAGGAATAAGAAAGAAAGGAAAAAAAACACGAAATGCGCACACACACATACACGTTGATGCACTCTGCGAGAAATTAAAGAGAGAGAGGTCTCATGCATGAGATTGTGTAACGTTGTGTGGCACACATCACCATAGCCGATTGCCCCGAGTAGCACCCGGTCCATATTATAGTTTATCTCTTTTGTTTATGTGAAGCGCTTTCTTTCAACTTGCCACTGGTTTGGGTGGGTGTGTGTATAGCACAGTGATGGGTGTATGTGTGCGTGTGTGGGAATAATACATGTATGCAAAAGATGTGCATGGGAATGCACACGCGGATAAAGCCTGCATAATAGAAACCTGCTGATGCCTTCATATGGCGCGATAAGGGACCATTGGTTGTGCGGTGGTGGTAATAAAGATAGTATACAAAGAGGAGGATAGAATCATTGTGTGGTGTAAAAGAGAAATTTTAGGGATATAGGTCAATGATAAGGAGTACCAAGAAAGGGAAAAGAACAGATCTTGTAAAGGGAGTCTCCACATTATGAGGGTAACCAGTACAATGGGTTAGTAACGTTCCCTTTCCATCCTCCTTCTAGCCTTGATCACTGACCTTTTATTGACAATTCCCGTGTTCCTCCTCCTCGCCAACTCACCTACCTCCCACCCCCACCACCTGTTCACATCATCATCATCTCTGACGTCTGTTGGTCAAGCCCCAACGTGGTGAAAGACGATCCAAACCTTGTTATGTATACTCTCCCTTTCACTACATTATATCGTGTCTCCTCATATAAGTATAGGAGCTTCTTATATATACACATGTTGTAGATTTGCATTGCCTGGATACGGTGTTGCTATTACTAGTAGGTGTGGTAACGTGGATACAAGATAATTACGTGGATTATCATATCAACGAGTATACTATACTACAATGGATCGACAAAAGACAATGACAGGATAACGTGAGTTGCATGAACAACAAATGGAATGGCCTCGTGAATCACATTATCAAGGGGAGCTGGGGGAAACAAATGTAAGAGGGGTGTGGTTGAACAGGTGGGTGGATGGATGGTTGTTGATCCCTATCGTACGCACACACTACTTGGTCATAAAGGATCATGATCAAAGAGTCCTTCTCCTCCTCCTTATATTTTACATGACCCACACGCTTTTACATTTCTTTTTTCTCATCTTCTTTTTTTCCTTCTCTCTCACACACACGCTCTCTCTTTCTCATTTTCTTTTTCTTTGATTTGTAACAAACAAACACACTCATTCGTCCTTCGTTATCTTATATAAATCTCACATGGATACTGCTGAAGACCCATCGAGAGTATTGCCTTCTGCCCGTTCACTCATGCTCCACGTGCAAGACCACCCTTCTTCAACTCAACACGAAACAACTGATAAAATGCAGATCGATACTGAAGGTATGTATACCCAACATCGATGGAGGGAGGGTTCTAAAACAGTGATTGCTCACATGGGTTGGTTGTTGTTGTTGTTGTCATAGATGCCTTAAAGCCGCGATTAGGCCATGGTCAACCTTGTTCTCCCATTCCACATGGTCATGCTTCCGATGAATACCTACGCAATCGCATGTCGGATATGACAGTATCGCCAACGAGCATCACTCCTCAGTCGCAAGGCACCATGATGGATATGCATGAATCAAGTCGAGGCACCTTGTCACCGCTTGAGCCTATATCACAGCAACAGCAGCAGCAACAAGCAGCACCTTATGGAAGGCGAGAATCCATCACTGATCCACTCATGTTTCGCCGGCCATCCATCACTGATCTAAACAACTTGCCATTACCTTCAGCATCATCCAGTCGTCGAGGTTCCATGGCTACCAGCACTGACTATGATTATTCTTCACGTTCACCTTCTCCATCACCCTTCAAACCTTCATCTTCATCCGATTATGGTCGCCCTGATGCTTATGATCCTTTTCAACGACGACATTCTATTGCCACTGCTGAAATCCCACATGGCAGTACAACTCGTTTGGCATCTTCAAAATATCGAGGTATTGCATGTGAATTGGAACGTATAGAACAAGCCCTCTAATAATGAATACATGTCATAGCATTTCGTTTCCCAGCAACGATCCCTGAAGCACCTGGACATTACTCGGCACCTTCAAGCCCACCTCATGACCAACCTGTTGCAGCCAACGCGAATAATACCAATGCCATATCAGCTGGTGGTGGATCATCAGTAGCACGATCAAACATGCATCATCATCATCAACCCTATCGACCTGCTTTACATCACACGCATCGTCGCCGTTCATTGTTGACTGACGAAGGTCCTGTATTAGCACGACGTGCTTCAATGCCTGTGGTAGGCTATGTTGAACCACCTCCACCACCAACATCTTCTCAAGACAAGCCAATGCGCAAATCAGAAACCCCGTATTCACGTAGCCCTGAATTACGTGTGAGTCACAAGCTTGCAGAACGTAAAAGACGAAAGGAAATGAAGGAGCTATTCGACGAGTTACGAGATTCTCTCCCGGTTGAAAAGAACCTCAAGACTAGCAAATGGGAAATCCTTAGCAAAGGTAACATGAAAACGGTGATGATGATGATGATAACAATCAAAGTTAACCTGCTGTATCTGCTACCATTAGCTGTCGAATACATTTCCTTGCTCAAGCGTCGTGATTTCGATATGGAAAGTGAAACCAATGCCTTGAGAAGAGAAGTCAACATGTTGAGACGCGAACGAGGGTAAGCTTTAAATACGGTTACAACATGATGGTGGATGATCGTATCGCTTACAACAACTTGATAGAATTGGCAATGCTGGCTATGGTCATTCAACTTCTCTACCCTACTAGGAATAACGTATTCTCTCATCACACACATTTATTTTCCTCTCGTTCTATTTTATTTTGCATGCCCACTATCATCATTCGTGTGTAGGATTAGGGGAGCTCCACTCTCACTCTCTTTTTCCCTTATATACCCCCACAACCACCACCTGAGTACGATTTCCTTTTTGCTTTTGATTCCTAATGTCGTCTATTTTTGCTACTTTTTCCTCCCTTCCTTCTTCTCACTCTCTTTTTGTCTCTCTCTATTTCCTATTCGTTGAACATTTAATACGCCCTCGAGGGTGCTGGTAGCTGCTTATTATGCGTAAGAGTAGTAGGGTACATCATCATCATTCACCATCATCATCCTTCTTAATAATCAAACATCCAATAATCGCATCTCTCTTCATTCTTTTTACCTTTAATGAATATGTGCCAAATGATGTCTATTAAGAGTTCATGGGTTGTATGGTGGTTACTCGTGATTGGAATCAACTTTTGCTGACACGTCGTCAAGTACATGCGTTAATGAGAGTGACCGGTTGCCATCGCGACGGGCTTATGCTATTACATGTCATATGCATGCAACATACTAAGCACGTCGGAGATGCTGGATGAAGTTGAGATGTCGGACTTAATGGCAATTTTCGGCCAACGGTCAACTTTTAATATCTTTGACAGCAAATTAATTTCCCCATACCATCCCAAATGTATTAAAAATTGTTTTACCATATTCTACGGGTCCTCCGCTGCATATAGAGCCTAAACATGTTGCATATTCCCAATTAGGAAGTTGAGTTGAATATATATGTCCGGCCGCGCGAAAAATTAAGAAGGAAAACGTCCAAGAAGCCTAGCTAGCTCAATTGGTTAGAGCGTGAGACTCTTAATCTCAAGGTTGGGGGTTCGACCCCCCCGTTGGGCTTCAGGAAACCTGCGAAAACAGGTGAACCTTTTTGGTGATTTTTCGTTTGGAGTCACGTGATTTGGCCCTAGCATTTGCAATACCTCTTTGTCTTGTCTAATAAATCAAAGCCCAGGATACGAGATGCCTTAAAACTAGAAGAGAGCTACATCTGTATACAAAATGCTGGGTGATGCTGCGTGAGATAGTGTGTTTCCTACTCGTACCTTCAACTTGCAATGAAGTTTCACTTTGGTCTATTGTTGTTTGCTACGACACGCTCACGTCGTTGCTCTACCTGGTATCCTAAGTTGAAATTGGGAGAAAAGCAATTGATTTTATGCTTATAGATACCTGTGTGCGTATAGCTTGCACCATGATGATGATTGCCCTTTTGTGAAGGTACGTAAGTAAACAGCATCCAGGGACCTGATTTATATATGTATAATAGGTATGCTATGATACATGTTAAATGGACCCGAGGTGTCATCATCATAGCTTGCTTGTCCTCCTTACTACTCTATTCAGAGCGAGGAAGCCAATTTAGCTAAAGGCTATATCGATTTGGGGCTTTACATTGAATGCCTGATCGAGAGCAATAGGCCCAATTGCCACATTATCTGCCGACGAAGCAAAGTACAATATAATAAATGATCCTTTTTTATTAAAGATTGATGAAACAGAGATACATGCCGATAAACAACAACAAAGAGTAAAGTGTTAAGGGGTCGCTGGTCATTGTTATCAAAGGGATAGACTTCATTGTTCCTTTATGTGGCAGCTTGGAATGAAATTCAGGGAATTGGGGAAAAGGGGCGCGTGCGCGATTTTTATCACTTTCTTTCTCTCTTGCCTGTGTGTGTTTTTTTCCCATAAGCATGACCGATACGCATCACTACCCAAAGGACGACCTGGCGACGCCTTCCAAACGACTCTCATTTCTTGACAACGATGGCGATACGGATGCTCTTTCGCTTTTTCCAAACAGCCCATCACGCTTTTCAAACAAGTACAGTGACGATCGATATCGTGCATTGGTGCAAGAGTCACCTCCAGCTGGTTTCAACGTGAACACACCCACAACAGATGAGCGCAGAGAATCAAGAAGCATTACACCTCGATCCAAGAATTCCAATCACACTGAAGAGTTCCGGACTGTCCAAGAGTGGGACGAGGTTATGCGTCGTAGAAGAAGTGAGGCTAAAGCAACAGCAGCAGCAGCAACAGTATCCAGCCCCAAAAAAGCAAAACATCATGATTATCAACGTCAGCAACCAGAAAGGAAGCCATTGCAAGAACCAGTACGCGACCTTTCAGTACGTGAACGCAGCTATCGTGAGCCTATTCGTGATGCTGTCGGGGAACGTGCCCATGATCGTTATGAAGCTTTACGAGAAAACGTACGTGAACGTCGTGATGATCCTATTCGTGAGCCTGTGCGTCCACCTCCTCGAGAACCATCATCATCATCACATCACACACCCATCCGAGAAACATCATCATCAGCACGTACACCTATCAGTGATGCTGTGAGCACATCTTCAAGCAAGCATGTGGAAAAGAGATTTGAGCCCGAGTCACCTATTATTGAAAGTAAACCACGTTCCACCGAATCACCCATGGTGCATACAACACCTCCACAGCAACCACCACAACCACAGCAACATCGACATACCACTCCAGAGACGATTCCTTCCTATATGCGATCAACAGCATCTTATGAAAGTCGCATCATGAGTTCTAGATCCCAAATGGTATGTTTCCATCACCGAGATACAGTGTTTCATCATATTAAACCATCAATTTAGACACATCAATCAATGCCCTATTTCCGCTCTTCCACCCGTATCAATGCCATGGAGGATATTCGTAGTGAGATGGATGATCAAGATGTTTATGTCCCTTTGGCTGTTCGTGTAAAGCTCTTTGAACAAGGTCTTGGTAACAACCGATACACAGCATCAGGATCTCGATTCAAATCATCATCACGCAAAGATACGGTATGTATGCATGTCAAATGATATCCTCATCATTGGTTTTTAACGTGGGTATTGTCACATCACAGAGCTCTCGATCACGTCTCACACGACCTCGATCTCCCAACTTACGTACAAACTATCGCACTACATCATCAACGTAAGTACCTTCCCTCTCAACACCGAAGAATGTCATTTTACTCAAGGTTAATGCTCCATGTTTAACAGCACCCAGAAACGACCCATGGAGACGACACAAGAAGCAGTAAGAGTTACTATCCACACACATACACACAAGATCATGCGTCATTAACGCTCTCTTTACATGATACAGATTCCCAAACCACCTAGTACGGAAGCAACAAAGACGCGTGCCACCAACAGCAATAGCACAAGAAATAGTCAAAGCCAATCCAGTTATCTAAGCATTGCTCGTGATACAATCTCTTCCCGATCTCGTCAATCTCGCCCTGCTTCTGAAAGTGGATCACAAAGCAATACACAAGAATCTGAAACAGCATCCAAAACAAAACGTCAAAAAACCCATCACTCAAAGCTTGAAGTTAAGGTATGTTTTTCTTTATCATAACTTACGATAAATCCCATGCTCACTCTATGGTAACAATAGCCATTCCGGTTTGCTACGGATGAGCGTGCATTACATCATCAAAAGGCGTTTAAGGCCAAGCTGGAGTTATGGAAGAAGAAGGAAATGGAACAAGGTAACAGCCAGGAACAAGGAATGCGTGGCACAAAGCGCAAGGTAATGTTGCGTTGAGAGAGAGAAAGAAATTGTTGGGATAAATGGCTCACTATTATAACAAATCCAGGTCAGAGATGCTTAAATTAGCCACCACCTAGTGTCATTGTTCGTTCATTATCATCATTCCCCACCTTCCTCTGCTCATACCAACTCATCTTACTCTACTTCCTCTGTTCATATTCTACCTTTTACATTTCATCGTCCGTGCATTTCTTATAAATTAGGCCTGAGATTATTATGTGCCATTTGTATCCATGTGTGCGTTCTTTATTTCCAATGACAATATACATAATGATATTTAATAGTGCACCAGGCACACCCCATCATATAAAATGTATCAACACAGAAAATGTACAAGTAGGAAAATACTAATTATTCTTTTGGGATGGTCGTCGTCGTGATGCGATTTGTTGATCAAGCATGTTCCTTGCATAATCCAACATTTCTCTAAGCTCTCCATTCTTTGACACAGCAGCATCTTCAATGCGATACATATCCAGTTGTCTTGATGCGGATATATAGATGACTTTGGTACCGAATTCGGTGAGGATGAGCTTGGAATGATTGAAAAAGTTGAACTATCATAAACGTGTATAAGCATATCCAGTCATCTTTATCCATATCCTCTCCTCTCACGCTCTTACCTGGACAACGTCATTGCTTAGTCGAAAAACCAGTGCATTCTCGGTTGCAATGTATTTTGTGAGATAAAAGTTGCCAGGACCTCCTACCACGTTGGGCATGTTGGTGGCCATTCGTGCTAGTCGTTGTTCCATGTATTTCTTGAAATTGTGCATGATGAAGACCTTCTTTTTCAACTCTGGTGGAATATTGTCAACATGATGGACTTGTCTTGCTCCAGGATTTTGATGCACCACGTAGTGGTAGTGTCTATAAGAAAAAAGAGAGCATTAGTGGATCCCATGCCAACCCATCCATGGGACATACATACTCATCATCTTTGGTAGTCATCGATGTCGAATCATTGAAATAAGCACCGCGAGTGCCATCCGTCAAGCTGTAGCCAAGTCCATACTTGCAAGAAAAGTCGACCCACTTGTCCAGAAATACATGTGCTGATGTCCAATTCACATGCTCCATAGGAAGACCATCATACTCTGATCGATTGTTGCTGTCGACCAATACTTCTCGTAAAACCCGATGCATCGTTTCCAAGATTGAGACTCCTTGGGTGAATCGTATATGCTTATACTGAGATGATGGATATACATTGGTGGTGGTGGTTGTGGTTGTGGTGGTGTCATGCTTTGGTGCAGATGATGTTGCAGCAGGTTGTGGTTGTGGTGGAGGAGGTACATTCTCTTGGTCGCTGGCGGTGGGTGGTATCACATCTCTTCGCTTTCGTGGTTGGTTATCTACAGGTGGTGTCCTACTTGAGGATATCAGTATCATGCATCTATACAGGATCACTCCCCATCATACCGTTTTCTAGAAGATGATGTTGATGTATTATCATCACCAGCCAGCGGTGATTTCTCATGCTTTTTATCCGGTGATCTCTTTTCTGTTGACTTTGGGAGAAGAGGTATATAGTTGTTGCTGCTGTTTGGCTCTTTGGGTGATGTCGATGAAGTAACAACAGGTTTGGGTTTGCTGGTAGTAGGTGTGGTGGCGGTAGTGGTGGTAGTGGTGGCGGCAGGTAAAGGAAACTGTGTTCTTGGGGCGGGTATGTTTTCTACGAATGCATCATCAATAAAAGTCCTTTGATTCATGTAATGTTGTAACGTTACCTGACATAAGTACAAGTGGGGCAATGGGTCGATTATCGACGTAGCTCTTATCCGCATTGCTTGCTTCACGATAAGTATCACCAGCGCGACCAGGTGAATTCATGCTGGATGCTGCTGGTAATGATGATGGGAATAACTCGTCATTGGTGGGACATCGTTCACGTGCAAACTTTGGAATACGAGGTGGTAATGATCCATTCACGAAAAATGGGTGCTTAAGCACTTCAGGTACAGAAGGTCGCTGATCTATTGAACCAAAGGATGTTGATCAGCATTCACGTCGTTTCCATCAATCCAAGTATGACGTACCAGGTTTGTTTACTAAGAGCTTCTTGACAAGATCCTTAGCATCCTCCGAGATATTAAGGCTGGATGGGAATTCATAGGAGGGCTCGTTGTAATTCTGTTTGATTTTCCTATGAATAGAAATGATGAATGAAATGAACCTTGAGAAAGAACAGTGTAGTACACGTACTTGTAGATCTGTTTGACGTCCTTTTGTTGGAAAGGGTGTCTACCAACGAGCAATGTGAACCTGATAAAGAATAAAGAATGAGTACTTTCATTATCATCATTTCATTCAAGGACTTACATCAAAACACCAATAGACCACATGTCCACCTTGTGATCATGCCCGGACTTGGAAAACAGGATTTCAGGTGCGATATAGTTGGGAGTACCACAAACAGTCCTATAACGACAATGTCAATGGGATGACGATGATGACAATGATGAGAGTGCACTTACTTTTTCCGATCCTGGGCATTCACGAGAAGAGCCGATAATCCAAAATCACCAATTTTGACATCCATGTTACGGTCCAAAAACACGTTACTGAGCTTGATATCACGATGGATCACACGATTGTCATGCATGTATCGGCAAGCACCAAGGACTTGAATGAGAAAGTAACGGGTCTCAGCTTCTGTCAATCGTTGGCGTCGTTTGATCAATTCTGAGAGGGTCTAAAAGGAGACATACAAAGTCAGCTTGGTGTTCATTGTTTGATTTGTTTGCTTACTTGCCTTATTATCACATAGCTCAACAATCAAATAGACGTTATGAGCATCCTCAAAGCAGCTGTGGAAGCGAACAATGCCTTTGTAGTTCATGGTGCGGTGGATGTTGATTTCAGCAAACAACTTGATCTTGTTCCTTCGTTCCATGAGTGTCGACTTTGAAATGACTTTGGCGGCGTATAATCGGTTGGTGGAACTTTTGACTTTGTAGCATTTAGCAAAACCTCCCTACGCATAATAATGGATATTAGAGATGGATACGTTCGCTTATTACGCGTCATACTTACTTCGCCGAGATAGCCCATCTTTGTATAGGTACGATTACGTTCTTTATCCACCATGACATCAGGGACTTCAAAGTCTGAGACCACAGTAGCTCGTCGTGAAGCTGGTTCCTGGATATTGCCACCTCTGACTTGGTGCGTACGAACAGCTGTCAAAGGCGCTCTTTTAGGTGCTGCTCTCTCTGGTGCTGTAAGAGGTCGCCTCATTTCTTTTGGAATGTGTGGTTGGGGGCTAATCCCAGGTAGATCAGTCCTTCGGTTCTCTCTCAATGCTGACGGCTTGGTAACAGGAAGCTTTGCCAACGTTCGCTGATTCGATGGTGGCGTTGAACCGAGAGCAGTCGATGTCGCTCGTTGTCTCGTGAATCGACTTGTGTTTGGATGCGCGAACATTGTCAAGGAAAAGAAAAAAGGGACACAAGAAAAAAAAAGAGAGAGAGAGAGAGCGACGAGAGAACAAGAGAATCAAGCGCCCACAAGATTTTATTATATCCCGATGCACGCATCCTGTCCTTGTTTTCCAACACGTAGTCATCAGCTACACCATAGTAATTGAATCCCCTATGCTGTTACAAGTCACTCGTTATCATCGTGCTCATTAAATGTATCGTTGTTGTCGATATGATGTTGAGGCCTTTTCATGTTACACGCCAATGTTTCCGATACGCGTGATCACGTTATCTCTAATAATCTGTCTCTGTGTCACATTTGGGAGCATAGTTGAGCTCACGCAGAATTTCCTATGTTATCATATCAATAAGTACCAGCAGCCTTGGTCTTTCATCGAGAATGATTGAATAAAGAACTCCTCCATAGACGCGATTGTTGCATTCAAAGACCCTCCTCGAAGACTTAAAATAACACCAATTGATTGATTTATGATGCATTACTTGATATTTTCTACCTAGGAGCTAGCAACAGAACTCGCTTTAATCACTGTTTTCTTAATAGCAAAACGTGTAATGCAAATGCATAGATTAACAGCCTCATCATAAATATAGGCCACTAGTGATAGACAGCTTCATACGCTACGTGACTCGACACGTGAAGGGAGATCTCGACGGCTAGTACAGTTGGATCGCGACTTTGCTAAAGGGTAAATGGACAGCTCATCTCGTAATACCGGATAGGCATTGAGCACTATGATTACTACAAGGAAATACTAGTTATTCATGAGGCACATCATCAACCACAAAGAAAGTCATCAAAGTTATGTATACAGCAAGGTGGGTCATTTAATTCCTAATAGCCGCCACAACTGTATTTCAATATGAGATCGAAGATGATGATGAAACCAACCCGACATGTGACTAGAACTAATTTAACATGGCTTGTGCACTGAGCACTCTAAATTCATGCATGTTCATAGAGCACCCATTGTCAATGAAAATAGGGTAAAAAGACCTTTATTGTGTAGCTGCGGTTGCAGTCAACAATGATACCATACATAATATAAGTGATATGCACCAAGATTACGGTCAGGGACCTGTTTCAGTCAAGATCGGCTGTCGCGTTTTTTCATAGCGTTTGTTTCATCAAGAGCAGCGTCCCCGATCTATGTGCGCAGTCGCCTTCTTTATCCGCTTTGACATTTTTCCATGGCTCCACCCACAGCAACCGTTGAGCCACCCAGCCTTGTCGACACCACCATGGATACCACCAATGAGGCCAACAACATCAACGACATGGATGCAAAGGACTTGAGTCGCTTCATTGATCCCGAGTTCCTCAATGCCAAGCCTGACGATCGCACGAGGACCGTGGACCAAGCCCTGACGCAGGAAAAAGAGGAACTTGAAGATCCCCCTGATCTGTTGGACGATTTCGGAGTGGAAGAGAACACTCGACCATTGGCATTGCAATCACGCGAATACCAATACGAGCTTTACCTCAAAGCAGTCGAAGAGAATGTTATCGCTGTGCTTGATACTGGCAGTGGCAAGACCCTTATTGCAGTGATGTTGATCAAGACCATTGCAGCCCAAGAGCGAGAGGAACGCATGAAACGTCGTCATGTAAGTGGGAATATCCATGACAATGCTATGCACAGCCTTTTAATCCTATGGCATGATGATGATGATGATAGACCAAGTTGACGTTCTTTTTGGTGGATCGTGTACCATTGGTCTTTCAACAATCCGAAGTGGTTGCTACCAACTGTGATGTCAAAGTGAAAGCCATGTGTGGTCAAATGGATGTTGACAACTGGACCGAGAAGCAGTGGCGTCAGATCTTTGAAGAAAATGACGTATGTGTCATGACAGCTCAAATCTTCTTGGATACTTTACGACATGGCTATGTTCATATGGATAAGGTAACTTTGACAACATCCCCCTCCCTCCTCTTTACATGACTCATATTTATGGACTTTTTCCTACATAGGTCAATTTGATCATCTTTGATGAATGTCATCACGCAACCAAGAGACATCCTTACAACTTGATCATGCAAGAGTTCTATCATCACATCCCAGCCAATGAAGATCGCCCAAAGATTTTCGGCATGACCGCTTCGCCGATGCATGCTAAATCAGGTGTACAATACAGTGCCATGTAAGTATATTTATTACCTTCTACTTATGGCGTATGCTTATTTTGTAAATGAACAGCCAGCTTGAACGTAACCTAGACAGCCGTATCTACACAGCAACCAATGTTCAACAGCTCCTTGAATCAGTCAATCGTCCAAAGGAAGTCTCTTTGTATTATGCAGCGTCACGTGGATACGAGCGAACACCCTTGACAACCCGTATTTCCGAGAAGATTGGAGTCATTGATCGTTATCGACGTTGCTTTGATGTGGCAGCCCATGTTCTTGATCATCTCGGTCCCTGGTGCTGTGATCGTTTATGGCGTTATATGCTTGAAGCCGTTGATGGACGTGTTCTCATCGATTTGGAGGATGTCCCCAAGGAGCAAATGGAGGAAGAGAATCGTGCATTATCCGAAGCTTACAAGATGACAGAGAATGCCGCTCCAGACAACCCCGATTTTTTCAATTCTGATCTCTTCACCGGCAAGGTGCAAAAGCTGCTTCATGTTCTTCGTACCTGCGCACTGGGGATGGATGATTTCTGTGGCATTATCTTTGTTGAACGACGACACACGGCAGTTGCTCTCTATCTTTTGATTCAAGCATGTCACTTTTTTGCCGAACATAAAATGCATTGTGACCTCCTCATTGGCCATGGCACCAAAGAAGATGGCGATGTTCAAATGAAGTTCAAGGATCAGAACAACACTATCAAGCGGTTTAGAAGTGGAGAGCTCAATCTGCTCATTGCTACCAACGTTGCAGAAGAAGGATTGGATATTCAGCCATGTAATATTGTCATACGGTATGTGCATGATGGGGGGGAGGAGATGATGGCGGAGTATATAGATCGACTGACAACATTTGTATGCAGCTTTGATTTCTTCAACACGCTTATTGGATACATTCAATCTCGTGGTCGTGCTCGCCAACCCAATTCCAAATATGTCATCCTTATGGAAGAAAACAATGAGTCACAAAAGAGCAAGTTGGAAGAGTTTCGTGATCTTGAGTCCGAGATGAAAGACTTTTGCAGAGAGTTACCAGACGAGCGTAACATGGCATCCAAATACTCTGATTCCATGTATCCAGACGACGACTATTTCGAATCGGATGATGATGATGATGAGTTTTCACTTGAGCATATGCATATTGTTCTGGAGACCAAGGCCACCGTCACTTTGCATTCTTCTGTACCATTAATTCATCGCTATTGTGGTTCGCTTCCATCAGACAGCTTCACCATCTTGCAGCCCGTATTCGAGATTTATCCAACAGCCGATGGGTTTTCATGTACTTTGAGACTTCCCAGTAATGCAGCTGTCAAAGAGGTACATTCAGAAATCGCGCGAACAAAGGCGAGAGCAAAGCGATTGGCAGCATTGAAGGCATGTCGTCTATTACACAGCCGTGGTGCCCTTGACGACCATCTTATGCCTAAAGCACAAAAGCGTGAAATGCTCGGTGAAATGGCACCCCAATATGATGAGAATGGATTTATTATTGGCAGTCGACGACGTAGAGGTGTATATGAAAAACGCACACCACGCTTCTGGGAACGAGAGCAGGAAGAAGAAGAAGATCAAGAGGAAGAAACTGCCGATGAGAAAAAGGAGGCGTTGATGCTAGATACTAAGGTATGGTTTACTTGTCGTGCCCATTCTCGTCGAATCGTCATCACTAAGAATGACCTACTATTTTAGCCAAGTGTTATTGAGAAGCGTTTGCGAGTCAACCAAGACAATGCACCCACTGCAGACGACAATAGCAGCAATGATCAACTCGTTCCTACGCAACCAGATAGCAACGGTTGTCTTGTACCTGAAAAAGCACATCCCAATGGGGTCAATGGGGCTAAGGCTGAAAGTCCCAAGGCTGAAGATCCTATGGTTGTTGATTCAAAGCCAAATGGCAGTGCTAGTCCAAAAGCTGAAGATTCAATGGTTGTCGATTCAAAGCCAAATGGTGATGTTATGCAAAATGGTGATGTGGATACGACTGAAGTATCGGAAGAACCACCAGCGGATATCGGACCAGGGCCCTTTGACGTATGGATTACAAGCATCAACTTGGAACCACCTAATACCATGATCATCCCTGTACGACGATTGGTGTTAGTCACATGGAAGCCTCTTCCTACTATTCCAGAATTCCCATTTTACAGCAAAGGCACGCCGTTCACTTGCTCTTTCAAGTCTGATCCAGCCTCATGTACGGTGGATCGTGAAACGATTGATTTGCTTGGTGATTTCACTTTGCGTCTCACTTCATCCATCACCAACAAGAATTTCGAATGTCCTTTGATCGATTTCCCTTATTTCCTTGCACCACTCAAATCCATGCATGATGGCAATGTTCAATACACCCTCAGCTCATCATCATTCCAAGAATCGGTTGATTGGGAAGCAATGCGTCGAACGATCCATTTCAAAGGCGAGCCAGTGGATGTGGACAATCTTGAGCAATCCATCCATGATCGTATCATTATCGATTCCTTTGATAGCTCTCGTCGCTATCTTATTCGTGACATCCGCAATGATCTTCATCCATTCTCGCCTGTGCCAGCTGATATGAACATACGTGAAACTGGTTTCGAGACATTTGCAGCATTCTATCAAGAGACGTGGAACGCCAAAGTCACCAAACCAGATCAGCCTTTGGTACAAGTGCAACGCATCAACAAGGTGATGAACTATATGATGGCGGTCGAAACGGTGGCACCAATAGAAAAGAAGCGCACTGCAACCTTTGTGGTACCTGAGTTTTGTGTCTTGTTCCCCATCAATGCAAGCATTTATCAATCCGCCATGTTCCTTCCATCGTTGATGTCTCGTTTGGATTCTTATCTTCTTGTTAAAGAAGCAACTCAGCGTTACGACTTGCCTGTCAAGGATGATCTCATTTTGGAAGCATACACTACACCTTCTGCTAGTATGGCTATGAACTATGAACGTCTTGAGACCTTAGGAGGTATGCTTTTTTAACCCTTTGTCTGTGTAGAGGCATTATTAACATGTTTCTTATTGCATTTAGATTCATTGCTAAAGTTCCTTGCAACCATTCGCTTGTACATCAACTTTCCTTTCTCCAACGAAGGCGAGCTTCATTGTTTACGTATTCGTGTCATTTGTAACCGAGCGCTGTATCGTGCTGCCAAGCGACTGAAGATTTTCCGATATGTAACGAGCCATGCATTCAATCGACGTTATTGGCGACCACATCATTTTACAACACCCAATGATACGCCTGATACACTCAAAGAAGTACGACGACACATGTTATCCGATAAGACACTCGCTGATATCGTGGAAGCCACATTGGGTGCAGCGTATTTGAGCTCTGGTCTTGAAGGTGGATTGAAGACAGCTATCGCTATGCAGATTCCTTTTGATGAGATACAGCAATGGTCTGATTTTACACCTACCTTTTTGCAAAACCGTGACAAGGTGCCTGCACGTGCCGAAGCAAGAGCGCTACGATCATTGAGTATTTCACGCGTGCAAGAGCTTACTGGATACACATTCAATACGCCTCTTTTGGTTGTGGAAGCCTTGACCCATGCCAGCTTACCCAATTCAACAGCACCTTGCTACCAACGTCTCGAATTCCTTGGTGACGCCATTTTGGATTTCTTGGTGATTCGATATCTCTTCACCAGATATCCCGAAGCTGATCCAGGCATGATCACTGATCTCAAGGACTCTTGTGTCAATAATCACGTGCTCAGCATCATTTGTGTGGAGAACATGCTTCATACTCAAATCATTCACTACTCGGGCCGTCTTGTGAGATCGATTGAAGAATTCTGCAAAGAAGTCGACGATATGAAGAAGGATGGAAGGGCTGTTGGTGAATATTGGAGAGATTTGATGATTCCCAAGGTGCTCTCTGATGTTGTCGAAAGTATGCTCGGTGCCATCTTTGTTGATGCTGGATTTAATCTTGCGCCTGTGGAAAAGCTGTTTGAGAAATGGATGCATCCACTCTTTGACAAGCATGTCACTCCCGATACACTCCAAGTCCATCCATTGCGACGATTGACTACAGACTTGCAACGTCTTGGTTGTGAAGGTTTTATGCTTAGGTAAAGAAAAAAAGTGGTTCATTGATCGTCGTCATTCATACTAATCTTTCCATTCATGCAGAAATTTTACAACGGAGTCCAATGCCCACGATAGTCAAAAATGTGTCATTTTCTTGCATGATCAACCTCTCGCTTCTGGTTCATCCGATAATGTCAAGGCAGCAAGAAGAAACGCTGCAACCAAAGCAGTGGCTCGATTGCAGGACGATCCAGAGATTGTGAATCGCATTTGTGATTGTGGCATACTGAGACGTAAACGCAAAAAGGTGGTCTACGTTTCGGATGATGAAGAAATCGAGGTGGAAAAGTAGCTTATCAGCTGGAGTCTTTTTTTATTGTACAAAGGATACCCGAAGATTTCATCATGATAATACACATTCATTCATTTCATGCTTTTTCCAGAGCCTCTTGTTGCAGGGTTTTCATATGCTTGAATGGTTATGTACCTTATCACAGGAGTTAAACAACGTAAATGACGACCACGACAATGAAAGTAGGACAACAATGACTCGCTAAAGGCGACCACAAAGTTTATTACAAAGAACACAAGCCAACAAGCTTATTAAGAGGTCTTGAGAGGGTTGTGTGGGAGTAACAACATGATGGTTTGTGACAACATCCTTGCTTAACAACGCATGGAAGTGTGAATTGCTGTGTTTGTAAAGAGGGGCCGATAAAGCGATTAAGGACATAGACGTGATGGTTGGCTGTGCATGAATCCCGATACATACTTTTACAATCCTACATCATTCTATAAAACAATGCATCACGTGCCCACACACAGCGAGGTCCAACTCAGGAAGAAGGAAGGTCTCTTACACTATACAGACTGAGAAATGGTTGGCATATCGTATTCATTAAGTAACCCTTAAATCCAACATCATTCACAAGAGAGATTGAATTGCTGTAATGGGGGATGACACATCGATGTGGGGAGCTTCTATCTTTGTGCGAAGGTGAAAGGATCGATGTGCATGATCCACAGGTTGTACAAAGGATGAGGATCGTGGCTGCCATTGAATAGCGTAAAGTACGATCGTTGGATGCATGATTGGACAATGAACACATAAGAACAAAGCTCTTTTTTTCACGCGTTGTGTATACCCAGATCCTTCCATTCCATGTGCCCATATCCATATCCATAAGAAGTCGTATGTATTGGAGTAAGTTGCTACGCGTAAATAAAGCTGCTTCTATACAATGGCTATCTGCCGTTCACGTGAACAAGGCTGTAAGACAAGTTGCTGCAAGTAAAGAACGCTGTTTGCGGCAATGAGCAAAGGCCTTGCTAATGGCAATTGCTGGAATGAATGCTGCTACTCTTGATGGTGGTAGAAGAGTGTACAAGAGAGTGTGTTGTGGCAAGAGACTCGTGTGTTGTAGAAGAAGAGTGACAAGAAGGTTGTGTACACGCCATGGACTTGCCATTCAGTCAAAGACAATCGGATCAAGACAATTGTAGGATTGACATGATGGGTTGAAGCAGGACAATCGTTTGCAGGTGGTAGTTGTACTTGAATGGGCCAACAGTTGAGAATGAGAGGAAAAGACAATACCCTGGGAGTGGAAGAAGTAGATAATAAATAGGTCAAACACCTCTTGCATAAATGCATGAACACTGTACATCAATCCTTGACATTGAGATTACTCCTCTCGAACCTGAAACTTTCACACAAGATTCTCTGGGACATGCTGATCACGTTGATCTAAAAAAGACCTCATCTTTCATTACAAAAAGTTGAATGGGAGTGTGCAATGTGGGTTTACTATGTAAGTCGGAAATGCAGGACAGCCCCAGATCCATGATTTATCGAAACAATACACATTACCTTGGGGTTCCCCATTTCGAACGTGAAACTTTGTCGGAAAGTTCGCTGGGACATGCTGATCAACTTCATTCATTTAAAGGTCGCAGACTTCATTAAGAAGATTTAAAATACGGGGCGATCCAAATGGTGGGATGATGGGAACAAAAGAGCGAACGGCCCACCGCCCCGAAGTTGCCCACTCCCAACTTGAAAATTGGTCAGCAGGGTGCTCTCGAGCATGCTGATCAACTTTTTCTAATAAAAACCTCACGCTTCATTTGAAAATTTTGTGTGGGAGCGTTCAAAAGTTTGAAAGACGGAGACATTCGCAGGGTCTGCGATTCATTAATTTTCATGTTTGCTGTTCAAGCGTAGCTCAGCCAAATCAGCTCGGATCAAGAAAGTTGAATGATGGAAATGTTGGTCTGGAGCAGGAGAATCGTTCCCATGCAACGTATTTGGCAACAAAGACGAATTGGAGGAAGTGGCTGTTAGCTGGCAGTTTATGAGCTATTGTCATAGTATGTATTATCATGCATTGATCCTTTCCACTGCCACCCAATGAGCTGAGTTACACGAAGAGGTCCCTCTGCATCTTTTGCTCTGCCAGGGTCCACCTACTTAACAATGAACAAAGACCACTCTTTATATAGTATCACGCTTACAAACATAAAGGTGCATGTATCTCCAAACTTTACAATGAAACGTGGGGTTTTTATAAGAGCAATGTGCTCGGCTTGGCCAACTGCACCTTGTGTGAAAGTTTCACGTTCAATGTCGCAACTAGCCCAAAAAATATTTTTTGGTCGTCGTCGTCGAAGAGGTCGACCCTCAGATCCAGTTTGGCTGGTGGCGACATTGCGAAATCTGGGATTGGCAAGCTTGATCGTGAAACTTTCACACAAGGTGCAGTTGGCCAAGCCGAGCACATTGCTCTAATAAAAACCCCACGTTTCATTGTAAAGTTCGGAGATACAGGCACCTTTATGTTTGTAAGCGTGATGCTATATGAAGAGTGGTCTTTGTTTAATGTAAAGTAGCTAGACCCTGACAGAGCAAAAGATGCAGAGGGTCGTGTTGTGTAACACAGCTACGTTTGCATGAATGAAAGGGTCAATGTATAATTACTTTATGGATCATCTACGAACAGGCATGTATTGCTAGCTAACGGCCACTTTTATCCAATCATCATTGCTGCAAGATCCACTGCATGGGAACGATGCCCCTGCTCCAGACATACATTTCCATGATTAAAGTAGGTTGATCCGAGATGATTTGACTGAGCTGCGGTCAAAGAGAGATTACATCACTCCGGACATAAAGCACGCTCGATGTAGCTCAACCGATGTAATCTTGTGTGAGCGTAACTCAACCAAATCAGCTCGGATCAACCTACTTTAATCATGGAAATGAATGTCTGTAGCGGGAGAATTGTTCCCATGCAGTGGATTCTACAACAATGCTGATTGGATAAAAATGGCTATTAGCTGCCAATGTATGACATAAAAGTGAGGGTTGCGTACCTGTCATGCATTGTCCCTGAAGTCCTGACTTTTAGCTGAGTTACCCAAAGAGGTCCTTCTGCATCTTTTGCTCTGCCAGGGTCCACACCTTACTTGACAATGAACAAACCACTTTACGGCATCGCGCTTACAAACGCAAGGTGCCTGTATCTCCGAACTTTACAATGAAACGGGGGGTTTTTATTAGAGCAATGTGCTCGGCTTGGCCAACTGCACCTTGTGTGAAAGTTTCACGATCGCTTCTTGCCAATCCCAGATTCCGCAATGTCGCCACCAGCCAAATTGATCTGAGGGTCGACCTTCGACGACGACGGCCAAAAAATATTTTTTGGGCTAGCTGCGACATTGAACGCGAAACTTTCACACAAGGTGCTGTTGGCCAAGCCGAGCACATTGCTCTAATAAAACCACGTTTCATTGTAAAGTTTGGAGATAAAGTACCTTTTATGTTTGTAAGCGTGATGCTATATGAGAAGTGGTCTTTGTTCATTGCCAAGTATTTATATGGAGGCTTTTGGCCTCGTTTTATTGGGAGTGCATCGAAGAGTGGCACCCCAAAATCGGAACGATATTGAAAAACGTACAAGAACTACGTATTGAAGGAATGACTACGTCACTATAGTCCCTCGGTGGCGAGGGACTTCCGAGAAATGAGAGGAAGGGGTAGAGGATGCAAAAGGTTGACCGTTCTGTTTAAGAGATTCAGCAAGAAGATCAAGAGCTGAAGGTGTCAAGAAAGCGGTGATTTGCTTGGCTTGGTCAGACATAGGTAGGTATCGTGAATATGGCGAAGGAGCCCGGAGGTGAATTGTGGCGTCGGCAAAGGCATGTTGTCATCGGAATTATCAGTATGTACTCGTTAATGATATTGTCGTTATGGCTTTCAATAGACGATAGATCAAGTTTCAACATGGAGATATCAGACGTTTGGCTGTTGGCAGATTGCGACGAAGGTGAATGAGGCATAGGTGGTGTCGTAGGACTGGATGAATCAGGTTTGGGTTTACGGGTTGAGACACTTAGCGGCGCGATGGCCTGTTTGGCCACATGACCAACAAACACGAGAACGAGTAGCACGATTAGGGCATGCAGATGTAGCGTGACCAGCTTGATGGCAATGAAGGCAATGGAGCGGCATTTCTGCCCACGTAACATGAAACAGGTCGTCTGAATTGGGCCATGCAACTGTGTGGCGTAATGGAGTTGTACCAGATTTGGCATTATTAATTTCCAGAGTGGCATAGCCTTTGCCCATGAAGAGGTGAGAATCATAATCGCGAAGGATACCATAGTCGAGGACGTTGCCATAGTCGGAAAGTACTTTGAATACCATTTGATAACGTGTCCCTTGTGGTAAAGGGTAGATCACTAAGCTGAAGGTGTACAAGGCGAGCATCAGGAGAAAGAGGTATCGAAGGTAAAATACATTGGTTGTCAGGGAAGCTGATACCCATGAACTTGATTTTTGCCATAGTCTTTTTGCCGATAAAGAGTTCGACAATGCGACGTGCGTGATCAGAGTGAGGCGTACTCCACAGTTGTTAGGAAACTTGCTGTTGATATGACGAAGTATTTCAGCACGGTGTTCAGGTCGAGAGGTGAAATCAAAAACAAGCTGACAAGAAGCTGGTGAGCTCACTTTCCACACGTTGGAGTGTGCGGCCGATTTACGACCTGTGGTGTCTTCAAAGAATCATTTAATGAGCGAAGGACGACGTGTAGCTTTAGCATACGAGAGACGTTGTGGACGATTTTGTGTGCCTGTTTATCAGGCAGTTTGCTAATTCTGGGAAGACATGTTGTTCATTGCCAAGTAGCTAGACCTTGGAGAGCTAAAGATGCAGAAGGACCTCTTTTGGGTAACCTGTAAAAAGTCAGGACTTCGCTAAATACGTAACTGAACGAAGTACAAT